GCCCAAATAAGGCAATGTGCAGGGGCCTCATTACTATCAGTGTTAGCCTAAGGAGAACCCCCTAAGGACACACACACACACACACACACACACACACACACACACACACACACACACACACGGAAGCTAACAAAAGAAAAGAATAAAATTGGTTGGAAGAAAGGGGAAAAAGAAAAAAAAGAAATTTACATGTAATGGAGCTGCCAACAAGGAGTAACTGAGGAATTATGGGTAGTACCTGAAAGTCCAGATGTGGTTGTCTATTTGCAGTCTTGAGGAGGGATGTTGTGGAATATGAGACGTGCAGCCCACAGGCTCAATACTCTTGGAATGAAATTGAATTAAGCATGCCGAGAAGATGATTCTGGTCTGGTAATACTTTACACAGCTGGAGTAGGAGGGTGCTTATCAGGTGTGAGGAATGAGGAGGATAAAATCCTAGGGCAGGAAGAAGCAGGCTGTGGGATGTGAGTGATGAATGGAATGGAAGAAAGTCATTTAGAGTTGAGTAACCAAAGGTGAGCGGTAGAAAGAGCTTCGCCATCAAGGTCAGGGGGAGAGGAGAGGGCCAGGCAACCCACATTTAAAAAAATTCTTAATCCCTTATGAAACACACACATACATTAAGAGCACAGAATCATAGGTTCATAGAACTGCAAGGGAATTTTCATCTGTTTCTGTCCCTGAGCCAATTTGGCACCAGGTTTTCTAATTTGGCAGCTGGTCACCATGTGACAGCTAGAACATTTCACATGCTGGGAAAGTCTCTGAGCTTCAGAGACAGCCCAAGTCAGTCAGCTTGACATCACTGTAACAATATCCAAGATAAAGCAATTACCATTTTATTAGTTCTTTGAGAATTTTGATCATAGTCACCCCTCTTCCCCAACTCTTCCCAGATCCACCCCCCTCCGTATCCACTCAACTTTGTATCCTCTCTTTTTTTCTATATCAATAATTTCCATTTTGTACTGCCCATGTATTCTTGAATGTGTAGATGCCCACTGGGGCATGGTTGACTTACAATGGGCAGCGCTCCTAAAGAAAACTGATTCTCTCTTTCCCAGCAGCTGACTATTGCAAATAGTTCCTTTGCTGCAGTGGACTTCACCTGTCTCCCTTCTTCATGGGATTTGGTCTGGTTTGAGCTTGTGGGCTGTAACAATCTTTCTGAGTACTTATGTGTTCATTTCCACATTGTCTTCAGAGGGCACTATTTGCTTGTATTCACTTACTGCTTCAGGCTCTTAAAATCTCTCTGCACCTTCCTCTGCAATGATCCTACAAACCATGAGAGGAAGTGGCGTGATATAGATGTCCCATTTAGGACTAAGCATTCTTCACCATAGGCAATTGTGGGTTTCTGTGTTAATAACCACGCGCCACAAATGGACTCTTCTCTGTTGAGGGTAAAAAGATGTATTAATGAATGGGTATAATTATAAGTCATTAGAAGACCATTTAAATCTATATCTACTTATCAGAATAATAGGAGTAGACTTTTCTACAGGACTTATGACCTGTGTGGTCACAGGTTCTTGCTCTGGTGATGGCACCAGGTATAGGTTTCACCTTGTGGAGTAGACCATAAGTCCAGTTAGAATATGGCTTTATAATGTGTTTGGTTACTCACATGATGTCCATGCCGCTATTGCACTAGTGGGCATGTCTTGCCAGGATGTTACTATAGCTCACAGGGTTCATGGTGGGGTAAGACTGATGACCACTTTTCTTGTAGTGTAGCGCAGTGTGTATGGCCATCTTTCTGGATCATGAAAGCTGGCTAGTAGGGATGAGTCTTCAAGGTCTTCAGCTTGGTATCTTCATGTTCTGTCTCAAGTACATGGTGTCTTCAGCAATAGAGGATTACCATCATGTTCTAGAGGGTAACCAATAACATTGGCAATAGCCTGTAATGTTCAAGGGTTTATGGGACTTCAGTGGCCAAGAATTGTGAAAGAGGAAATACATTTCTGTCACTGGACTTTTAATTCTTTTTAGCCAGTAGTGTCTAGTAGGGGCATTGGTGTCCTGTTATGGTGACAACTCCATCTTAACTCTTTTTTGTATATTTGTATATATATACAGACAATGCACATTTTAGAAGAGGAAGCTATTTTGGATTATGGTTTTGGAAGCTTCAGGCTGGGAAGAATTGGTTCTGTTGTTATGGGGCTGTGTTGAGGTTAACACATGATAGTGGGGAATGTGTGGTGGTGTCCAGCTACTCACCTCATGGCTGAGACTCAGAAGAGTGAAAGGAAGGGTGGAAGAGTCTGGCTCCCTCTATTCATGTCAGAGCATACCCTACTGAAGTATGACTCATTTCAAATCTGCCTGAACACCAATTCCTTTGCAATGTTGCTCAGAAGTAGGTACCAGTAAGAGGAACATATCCAGCTTTAACAGCTTCTTCATGCATATTTACTGAATGACTCAGAGGATTCTTACTGTCTTACAGGCAAGGTCAGGTGTTCTTTAGTCCTTCTGTGGGAATGCAAGCAATACAAGAAGAGGTAAAATGCATTGAAATCTCATGTGCACCAGTACAAAATAGGCCTTTTCCAGGGTAGCAAAGCCACTGCTAGTTTCTATGCATAGCTCACCTCTCCTGCCTGGCTTGTTATGTTCACATATTGTCTTCCTTTCCAATAGGAGTCAGAGTCTGTCATTTGTCCACTGATCTCAAAGCAGGCACAATGCTGCAGATCTCTTGTTGATGCTTTAATTTTCTTAAGAAGGGTCCAGAGGGATTCCACGCCACACTTGCACTCCACTCTGACCATCTTCAATACATCTAGACCCTTGCTCCATAGCATGACTTTCCCCTCTGTCTTCATGCCTTTCTGTGCCTCTATCATTTTTAGGGGCTACCCTACCTTCTACTTTTATGTTCCTGGTGACTATCACTCTCCCAGCCATGTTCATTGGCCTTTGTCAATTACTGAGATATCTGGAGCAAAGTTACATGAAGAATTCTAAGTTCTTGCCATGTATTTTTGGAATTTCATTCATATGTGAGGATATGAAGACAAGGTTCCCATCTGTGCTGGTTTGAAGAAGATATACTCTATTGCCTATGGCATTGGAATACTTGGTTCCCAGTTGGTGGTGTTGCTTGGTGAGACTTTGGAGGAAGTATGGCAATGGGGTAGAATTTGAGAGTTTAAAGAATCCTGTAGTGTAGTGTTCTCTTTCTCTCTCTCTCTCTCTCTCTCTCTCTCTCTCTCTCTTCCTCTCCCCCCCCCTCTCTCTCTCTCTCTCTCTCTCTCTCTCTCTCTCTCTCATGCTTGTGATTTAAAGTGTGAGCTCACAGCTTACTGCTTCAGCCCTTGTGCCTGTCTATTGCCACACTTCCTCACCACGACAATGATGTACTCCCTTTGGAATTATAAACCAAATAAACTCTCCCTCTGTGACAACCGAAAAGTAGCTAATTAATACACTGACAATCAAAGAAACTTGTTATGACTATAGCACACAAAAGATCTGCTGATGGGAGACAGGGTCCAGCTAGAATCACTCATTTTTAGCCACATTGGGGAAACTTATTAAATCAGTGCTGTGGATCTGAAATTTCATACTTCATGATACCATCAGCAAATCAGTTTCAACTGGGATTGTAGGGCCTCCTCACTGATTTTTTTCCCTGCTTCATCCAGTCTCAGGAGATAGGAAATGAGCCCCCAAAAAACATTTCTGAAGGACTCTCAGGTGATTTTGTTGCTTCCATTCCTGGAGCACATTGTGAGACCTGAAGGCCCCAGTAACTTCACTTGACTAGCTGGGTTGGTTTAGAGGAGTGACATTAAGGCTCCTACATGCGTAGCTTCTGGCTGCTTGAGTCTGGTCCTCACAGTATCCTCTCAGTTCAAACTGCTGCATCAAAGTGTTATTGACCAAATGGTTCATGAACTATAGAAACCGATTCAGGAGACAGAAAATCTGAGCTCAGGGTGACACTCTAGTCAGTTCTGCTTAGTTTTTCTTCTGGGTTTTAAGCTGTTAACAGCCTACTGTATTCTCACATAGAAAGGGATTTATAGAACTCTCTGTGGGCCATCTTTGTAGGAGCCTCACCTCCAGGTCCCAAGTAGTTCCCCAAACCCTGTTTCCTGTACTATCCCATTTGGGTGAGAATTTGAATTTATGAAATTTGTGGGGGGTACTGGAAGACATTGTCAGTCCACTGCAGGGAAAAGACCCAGAATTAAATTCTGCATTGTGTATAAGGCCCTGTGAATGCCAGCTAGTGAGGAACTGTGCAAAATCACTGAGGGATCTGTTCTTGAAGGGTAGTAATATAGCTCTATGACATAGTTATGCTAAGCTACACACAGTGATGGGGACCATCACCTGGGCAGGAAGAGACAGAGGGTCACACACGTGTTTGACAAATGTGGAACACTTCCAGCTGGAGGCGTGCTGCTTGCTTCAATCAGGCTTACTTGTATTTATCAACAACATTTCTTCCTTCAACTTTTTTTCCAATATTTCAAGCAAGTAGTCTTGGTTGGTTTGTCTTTTTAAAATCTTCAAGAGTATAGGTATGTATGCATGTATGAGAGAGAGAGAAGAAAGAGAGAGAGGGAGAGAAAGAGAGAGAGAGGAGAAAAAGAGAAAGTGTTGGTTTAGAGGCTTTGACAGGTAATAGAACACCAATCCAATCATTTCTTAAAATTGCATAATTTTATCTGTTTTTTATTGGAAAGTGAATGAACATTTTCTTTTCCACAATAGCAATTATTTTTCTTTCACTCTAAAAGAAGCTAAAAATAAACGAGTCGATTCAGAAAAGTTAAACAATTAAAGGATCTACTTTTTCCTATGAGGTGGACTAGCGCCACCACGCGGGAGCACAACTTGCCTCTCTTGACCGCTCTTGACCCGCCACAGCTAGGCTCTCCAAAGCCGGTACAGAAACACTTGCGCATGCGCTTCAGTGACCCACTGCTGTTTGTCCGTTTCCATGGCTACGAAGCCCTTCGCCGTGGAAAAGGAAGAAAATGAAGCTAAAGAGCCTCTTGCTTCGGTATTACCCACCAGGTACGGAGTTTCCACGTGTGGATCCTGGGTTCCCAGCCTAGGATGGTCTAGGACGATGGAGGGGGCAGGAATTTGGGGAGGGGCATGGAGGTCCTGCTTCTGTGACCCAGTGGGTCATGAAGCCAGAGCTCTACAGACTGTGCCTCCTACCCTTTCACACGCGGACTTCACTGCTCCTCAATATCTTATAAGTAACCCGTTGAGGAAGTTATTAAACTTTTTAAAAAGCTTTCTAGTAACTCACGAGTCTTAGTAGGGTGGGGCTGGAGGAGTAATGAATAGTGACGTCCTGGGATAGTGTTTTCTGTAACAATGTGTTATTTTGAACACTTAATGGCCAAGTCTAAGTGAAGGACGCATGAAAAGAAAAAAAAAAAGTACACTCAGCCACGCTTGCTACCTTTGTCACACACTCCATCAAGAAATCACTTCACGAACCTGTAACTTACAGGCACTGTGCATCTCGCCATATGAGTTTAAAGAAAGTCATCGGTTCTAATGTGATTATGAGATATGTCCACAAAATGCTGCTGTTTTAGAGTGGGACACACTTTTCTGGTGGCCTTGTGTTGAGGGGCACATGGTCAGCATTGGAGAGTAAATGAGAAACAACTTGTTGGGGTCAAAATAGGAGGAAACTTGGCATGGTGACACATACTTTTAATCCCAGCTTTCAGGAGACAGAAGCAGGTGGCTCTCTGTGAGTTCAAGGCCAGCCTGGTCTACAGAGTTGGGTTCCAGGACAGCTATGCCCATTACACAGAGAAACCTTGTTTTGAAAAACCAACCAACCAAACAAAAAACAAAACGAAACAACAAAATATAGGAGGAAAACTCCCAGCTTTTATCTAGGAACTCAAATTAAAAATAAAAAGAGCCAGGGACAAGGCCAGCAGGTAAAGATACTTGTGGCCAAGCCTGATGATCTGAGTCCAGTCTAATGTGGTTGGAGGAGGAACTGCCTCTCCGAAGTCTCCTGTGACCTCCGCATGTGTACTGTGGAATGTATGCATGTTTTCATGTGCTCACATGCACACATGTAACAAAAACAATAAATGTAGATGAAATAGCAAATGAAATGACATATGTAAAAGAACGTTCTCAAATGTTGTCTCAGGATAACTGCTAAACACACCTGCTCAACGACCCATTTGGGTAAAGAAACTGCAGGAATGTCAGAGGAGAGTTAATTCACTTTGGAGCAATTTAACCAAGACAGTTTTATGGATGTGGACTTGAAGAATTTCAGGAACAGATGTCTCACTTTCCTCAGCAATGCAGCCAATATTTCGGTTCATAATTCTAACCAAAATGTCTAATAGACAAGGATATCATCATTCCTTTCTTTGATGCCACCCTGATTTCGTTGTTCTTACAGTTTGTCCACTGTCAGCAGATAGTGTCAATAATGTCATCACCTGTCTCTGTTTTTCTTTCCCAGTTTTTTTTTTTCTACAGAAGCCACATGGCCATCCTTTATTTCTCCCTTCTCACCTCTCACTGTCCCTTTCTGCTCATTCTTTTCCATCTATCAACAAATTGTATCACTTCAACTCCCAAAATATTTTGTGAATCCATCAGTTCACCCCTCTTTAGCTTCACTCGTTTTTCTTGACTCAGCAACCCTTCCGTCTACTAATATAGCCCAATTCTTGATTCTGTCAACTTTTGTTGGGATGACAGTGTCCTGTCAACTGGCTTCTTGGCTTTCACTCACATCTACTGTTTACCAGTAGATGTCCCCCTTCTCTAGTTCCCATTATGCACCTGTTAAGCTTAGAATAAAATATACAGTCTGAAAGAATTAACTCAGTGGGCTCTGTTCATTTCTAGACCTTTACTCTCTGTCCTATCTACTTTAGACCTCTGGACTATTCTTCCAAAGCTTACAAGAAGGACTGTCACTCACTGTTCCCTCCGTGGAATAAGTTTCCCCTAGACCTCTCAATGGTTAACCTTTTTTCTTTACATAATTTTAACGAATGTCGCTGATCCAGAGAAGCCTTCCTTCTCTATGTCAAAAGTACCTTTACTGACTTACTCTACACAGCATTTTTGTTGTTGTTGTTATATTTATCATCATACAACATTGTAGGTTAGTTGACACAACCTAGAGTCACCTGGGAAGAGAGAACTTCAATTTAGTGATTGCCTCCATAAGATTGGCCTATAAGCAGTCCATGAGTTTTTTTCCCCTTAATTATTGATGTAGGATGAACTAGGTCATTATGGGTGGTACCACCCCTGGACAGGTGGTCTTGGGTTGTATATAAAAGCAGGCTGAGCAAGCCATGGGAAGCAAGTCAGTAGGCAGTGTTCCTCCATGGTCCTTGCCTTTGTTCTTGCTCGAGTTCCTGCCCTGACTTCCTTCCTTGATGGACTGTAATAGGTATGTGTAGGTCAAATAAATCCTCTCTGCCTGCAGAGTTGCTTCTGGTCATGTTTTCCACAGCAACAGGAATCAAAGTAGAACAGTCTCAAATGATTGTCCCACTTGATCCCTTTGCTGTGGAACTCGGGTTAGGGATGTGGGCTGTGAAGCCTGAGAAGTCATTTATCAGCACATTAGACCTTATCCGTGGGGCAAGCTGTCAGTCAGTAGCACTTAGCTCACACTTCTGACCATTTTCCAGTTGCCAGCATGGCTGCCCTCTCCCTTAAGCATGAGCCTACTTTGAGCCACATCTTCCCCAATTTCTTTCCTTTCTTTCAGTAGCTAGTTTCCTGTTTTCACTATTCGAGGCAGGACTTTTTTTCTCTCTCTCTCTCTTTTTTCTTTAATAGTTTTAACTTTTGTTTTATGTGCATTGCTGTGAAGGTATCAGATTTCTTGGAAATAGAGTTACAGATAGTTGTGAGCTGCCATGGGTCTGCTGGGAACTGGATCTGGGTTCTCTGGAATAGCAGCCTGTAATCTTAACCACTGAGCCATCTCTCCAGACCTGTTTTCACCGTTATCTCACCCTGAAACCTGTCTTTTTCAGGATCCCCACTGACCCCCATGTATCTGAATCCACTGGCTGTGTCACAATCCTCAGCAGGCAGCAGCACTGGACTCCATGGCTACTCCCTCTGGCTTCTAAGATGACTACTCTGCCTTTCTCCATCTCACCACAACTCCATGCTCTGTCCTGTTGGCTCCTCTGCTCTTTAGTCTGGAACACCCTAGACCTCTGACCTCAAACTTCTCTTACGTATTTACACTCATTTGCTGGGGAAACTGAGTACTCCAGAGCACCTAACTGTTATTTGACATCTTCATAGGGACATCTAATGTACACCTCACACGGGATAAGTTTCCCGTGGCCATTGCCATTTCAGCAACAGCTTTGGTTCCTTACTAATTCATGACAAAGATTTGACCTCATCCTTATTTCCCCTTTCTCACTTCGTATCTTGTTCAATGATAATTCTGTCAGCTCACTCTCTCTTCATCCATTCATTCACAAATCTATCCATCTCTATCTGTTCATCCATCCATCATCTATCTGATATAACATTATACCAATATTATACCAGTATTAACAGATCCCACCGTCATTTCATTACAACAGTGTTCTCGATTACTATAGCTTCTCCCTTGCCCCATGTCAACAGAGCAGCCTGATGACTCTGTTGAAGTGTCTACTTGAGGAAGTCAGTCTGCTACTCAAGCCCCCCACACACCTTTGTTCATTTTAAATCTCGAAGGGCACGTTGTCCAGCCTCCTGCAGGACCTCATCCTCCTGCCTCTCTGACCCCTATATTATCTTAGTATTCCTTTAGCAACACCACTCTTTTCTGTGTGTGTCAGACCAGCTTGGTGTGGCCCCACTGAGAGTCCCTGAGGCTGATATTACTTCCTGGGATAGTTTTTCTGTGGTTGTTTTCCGTGATCATTTGCATAGTAGGTCTTCCAAACTCTTAGCACTTTCCTCGAAGGTGTATTGAATAAAGCCTAGATAGCTTCTCTTTCTAAAAGTTCCGTCTTCTCAAGGTAGTTCCCAGCCCTCTTCCACCTCAGGGCTGTATCAGTCCAATACACTACTCCCTTACTAGTTTTCTTTGCTTAACTTTCCCCACCAGAGAAGAATTCTATGAGGGATGTTGGCTGCTTTGTTTATTGCCTATTTTCAGTAGGTACATGGAGATTTGTGCATAAAATATCCACTCATGTGTTGAATAAGCAAGCTTGATGAGACTGTATGTAAGGATGATGCTGGAATTTCAGCTGAAGTACTAATAGATGAGAGAAATCTGATCTCTGATGATCCAGCTGACAGCCACCATTCTAACAGGAGGCAGACAGGCTGCAGACCCCAGCTTGCCACTCTTGACTTATTTTCCTAGTGAGACCATATTACTCAGCACAATTAGACATTTGATTTCTAAACTCCAGTCCTCAGATGCTATCTTATATGCAAGTTTCCCAGACAGTACTGAATAGCAGGTGGGTGTTTTACTAACGTTATCGTATGGGAAAAATGCTTGACATGCAATGTTCCCTGTATGGGTCTATATAGAGAACAATTTTGTGTTGCCTTCTAAGGCTCTCATTTCAATCCTCCCACTCAAAGTCTGAAACATCCTTCTGTTAGCATCTACTAAATCAATGCTGTCCCTTCCTAAATTCCTGGTGACCAAATGCACACAGCAGGATGTGGCTGGCCCTACACAGACCCTTTCCTTTATATGTTGATCACCTTCATTAGTTCATTACAGAGAAGGCCTTGGCTTTTTGAAGCATAGGTGGTCACTGAGATTTTCTACCAATTCAGTTATGCAATTTTTGTCTCTTTTGTTGTTTTGTGTTCAGTTCTTTGCTCTTTTGGTTAGGAATTAAATAAAAATCAATTAAACTGGTTCAGATTCCCAGAACTTTAAAAGTTTCTGCTGTTATGAGTAAAGAATACTAGTATTTCATGATGCATTGCCACGGTATGAGAGTAGAGGCTTCTTTCCGTAGTGTTTTCTGATTTGGGCTTATTACATAGTAACTGATGGCTAACAGAAGATGGCGAATATTGAGAGGTGGGAACAAATCACCCTGGAGAGATGGACACTGCCAGCACCTTTCTCTGCTTGTGTGGATTCTCTGTAGCTCATCCCACAGCTTCTGACTCATGTCACAGCTGCAGCCCAGCAGTTGTGGGAAGGATGAATACATTGCTTTGACATTTTATCACAGGGACACAGCCAAATCTGCCAGTTTGAGATTCTGTACCTTACTTTCTAGACCTTAGTAGCCAGCTTCAGGGCTTTGGACAACACTCATTTTGATAGAAACAAGATAGGTAGAGAACAGAAAAAGAGCCGACCAGACATAATTAAAGTTGGTTTGATAATTTTAAAAAATGAATTCATTTTAGGATATTAGGTTGTGTAACATGGGGTGCCAACTTCTATTTTTAACACTCTTTAAGACACAGATCATCTTATTACATGTCTATCCCTTATAGCAGTGGTTCTCAACCTAACAGTTACTCATGTTGGGGTGACCCCCAACCGTAGAATTATTTTTGTTGTTACTTCATAACTGTAATTTTGTTATTATTATGAACCACAATGTAAATAGCTTATATGTGGGATATGCAATATGCAACCCTTATGAAAAGATTGTTCCGACTTCAGAGGGGTTGTGACCCACAGGTTGAGAACCTTTGCCTTATAGCACTTACTAGAAAATGTTGAGTGCTTGCTTTCCTTAATACTAGCACACAAGAAGTCCATTTACATATAATGTAAAATCCTACAGTCACAGAAATGGAAAATCATTTAATAATAACATTGCCTCACATTTAGGTTGGCTTTATATAGTTTAAAATGCTGTATCTTATTTGGGACCTCATTCTCTAAGAGGTTATATTCCAACATTTCTCTTCTATTTTCTCCAGTTTTTAAAGTTTTCTTATTCTTTAAAAAAATCTATGGGAATATTTAATTAGGCATAATTTTTGAGAAAAAAATTAAAGAAAAGAACTAAGATTGCATTCATCCTCTGGAGAATATGATAACCCTGTGATAGAGTCTATTCATACAGTTGTGTGAGCTTCATTGTTTAGACCTGCTAGCACTGCATGCCACTAGCACTCACAGTCTTCGTAAATCTAGGAAAGACATATTTTATTTTCTCTTATTAATGAGGCAGAGACTCTCTTATTTTGTATATTTACTCATTATTACCTGCCTCCAACCCCCAGGTTTAGAATTCTTCATATTGAACTTCCTGAGTTGAAATGTTTTCACTGACCATAATTTGTTCTTGATGTCATCAATTCTTTACTTTGTAGAAGCTTAAAATTAACTGCAGAATTTTGAAAACATCATCTTTAGGTGTTAAGTTTCACATACTTAAAAGACTGATTGCAGATGCTGGAATATAAATATGTCCTATTATTCAAACTGCTTCATATTTTGTTACAAATATCTCTTACCAACTTGTAGTATGTTTTTGTATGTGTGTGGTAGATATTTATGCTTAAATCGAACTGATTTTTGCATCATTGCTTGTCAAATAGCACACTGTTTGCCCATTGAGTCTATATGTTCCTTTAACCTTTCTTTGAAATGTCAAGGTGTAGATAACTCTATCACCGTGATTTATTTTGTATCCGAATTATACTTTATTGTCTTATAGTTTATTATTTTCTATAGTAGATGAATATTTAAAGTTCCAAATAGGAAAATTTCATGGTATCAGTTTCATACATTTATTTGACATCTTTACAATATTGACCTTTGTCTTTCAAAATTACATTTCTCCATTGCCACAGTTTGGGGCTGTCATTTAATGTTTCAGACATATCTTGTATATTTCTCATTGATTTTGTATTTATGCATCCAGAAGTTCCCTTTGCAATTGCAGATGGGATCTTTCTATTAATTTCATCCTCATTAAAATATATGTATACAATTTATGCAATTTCAACCTTAGATCTTTAAATTGCCCCTTTAAATTCCCTTCAGTTTATTTCTAGATCACAATGTATTTAATTATGTACTTCAAAGATTTTAAAAGTGTGATGGACTTAAAAACTAGGCATGCAAATATGGGAGGGTAGGGAAGTGAGGCTTGCATCTTGGAGAAGTTGGAGAGTGGTGGGAATATGTCAAAATACTATGACATTCTCAAAGGACTAATAAAATGAGAAAATGTTGTAATATCTACATCTTGCTAAACATTTCAATGTGAAGGCTGTTTTCATCCTAAATAAACAAGAATTTTCTTCAGAACCTTTTCTTCTTTTAAGTTTATTTTGCAATTATACAATCAGAGTCTAACTCCAGATTTTTACAACTGTCCCTTATGAAGACAAACTATGTCAAGACAAACTGCAAAAGCCAGTCATTCTCCTGTGCTTGAAGGCTCTGGGCAGCTCTAGAAGTCACCAAAAGATTTATGAATGCTTTTTTTACTCTAAGGCAGTGAGCTTCAGTTTTGCCAAGTAAAGTGTTGCAAGACTGTATTGAGATGAATTCCTTCCAAGATTGTGACATCAAGGTAGGGACCCTAGACGAGGAGCAGGGCTGGGGGAAGAGCCTTGTTTGTTCAATGTGAGGGCAGGTCACCAGCATGTCTGGAATTCAAGAAGCCTATTGTGGGGAGCTATAATTAATATTTGTAATTATAAGTGATGATTAGCCTACTGATAACAAGGCCGTGAACACCAATGAAAGAAAGATAGGCAGATAAAGTGAGAAGAATACTTGGGCATAGATTGAGATTAAAAGGAACAGCACCATTGGAGGAGAAAGAGGGAGTGCATTCAGAAAACCCAAGGGAGATAGACATATTGGAGGTAGAAAGGAAGTGTGTGTTGTGGGATTGGCTACCTTTGAAGGGTCATGGGTAAAAAGGCAGGGATGTGCCTATCCAAATAAGCAGTTTGAGGGCACATATCCAAACACATGCCATGTTCATTTGCTTAGGGAGCACCATGGTGGTCCTTAAGAAAATACCTGTGGTTGTGTGAGTTGCAGAATGAGGTACCCCCCTCCCCAACTCCTACCCTTTGAAGATCATCTTTACCTGAAAGACCAACAGGTAGCTGATGGTTTTCAGATTTGGTGCATTAGGCAGACAAGGTTTGTACTGAAAACCTCAGTATTTCTTGCCAGAGGTAAAATTTGAGCTTTCAAAGAAAACAGGAAGTTTAGAAAGCCCATTCCCACCACATGGTCATGACAGTTTGTCAGCAGCGAGAGTTTTCTGATGATAGATTAGAGGTGTTGCTAACAGATGTGGTCACTGCGAACTGTGCGATAGAGCCTGTGAAGACCAAAAGCCATACGTAATTCAAAGAGAGTGTTTTACAGTTACGGCTTCATAAAAATCCACAGAAAAGCTGGATTTTAATGTATCTGGCTATCACAGAACTCACTGGAGTGGTTGTAGTTTCACACTGCAACTATCACTTGATAGTTGAAAAAACTCTCAATTGCTAAGTTTTAATATATTAATGAAGAACCATCATCATTTGAAAAAGCTATTATATAATATATATCTGTGATTGTTCATTATTTTCTTGTATCTCAATCCAAACGGCAAACAAATGGCGAGAATATTAATGCAGAAGTGGAAGTGAGATTTCAGCTGGCTTCAATTAGGCTGGGGGTTGAAGATGTGTGTAAAACTACTGTGCTGACATTCCGACAGTTTTCTTTGGGTACACATGGCAGCTTTTTAAATAGTACATTGTCATGTAGCATGTTATGAATCTGTAATAAAACCACTTCACAATGCTTAAAAATTCTCAACTTTAACATGGAAACCACTACATGACGAAAGCATATTTGTTGTCCCACGATGTCTGAAAGCTGTAAGATCCCTTGAGGCAGGAAATGCATGTGATTAGGATGTGATTAGTTCCCTGCCCTAGTGTCTTTTCTCCCTCTTGTGTGGGCTGAGTATATTTCACTTCTCAGTCTTCACAGACATAGATTATGCCTCTAGTTATCTTTAGGATTGACCCAGTCTACAAAGATATTTCCCGCAAGTTATTGCCCATTCCATGTTTTAAAATTATCATTTGATTTAATTTAGTAAGTTCTGTTTATTGCCAAAGATTTTTCCACTCTTAAAACATGTAAGTTATTGTTGAAGTATTAAAATACATAGGCTTTTTATGAATTCTTTGAAGATTTACTACATGTATATAATGCAGTTTGATGATAATTTCCCACTTCTCCAGCTCTGTAAGGAGTACGGTGTTTCCTCCCACCGCCAGTCTTGTCCTGCAGCCGCGCCAGCCCCAATTAACACACAGAGACTCTGTATTTGATATAATGCTGTTGGCCCAGTTACTTGTTTCTTATCTGCTAGATCTGTCTTAAGTATTAACCCATTTCTGCTGATCTATGTATTTCTCTTACCGGGGAGCCGGCCGGCATACTGCTTTCTCCAGACTCTCCATCTTGACTCTCCTTACTACTTCCTCTTTCTCCTTGTCTCCCTGCCTCAAAGAACAGAGAATGGTAGATGAAGATACATGACATTGACCTCTAGCCTCCAGATATGTGCTCATGCAAGTATGTGCACCCCCTCTTTTGCATGTGTGTGAAACCACATGAACTTGTGCATATACTACACACAAACACAAACATAAACCAACAATTAAAATCTGAAGAGTTTTTAAAAGAACTCAAAGTGCATAAAGGTTTTCCTAGCTATTGTTAAGCACTTTATGTCATGCTTGTGTGTTTTACAGGAATTATGCTGGAATATGAGAAGGGTGGAGAACTAAAGACCAAATCCATAGATTTGCTTGAGCTCAGTCCTAGGTAAGTTAGCCATGTAACACAGCATGTGCCTCATATCAGTACCGTTCAGACAAACACCCCAAGGAGGGTGTACATATGGCTGGGCTGAATAACTATTATTAAAAACACAAAGGCTATCATTCTATCCTATCTTTTTTTTGAGCAGGGCTATTTTAAAATATGAACTGGTTAGTCTAGAATAGCTTTCGAAAAGTATTTAAGACTGTGTGGGTCAGCTTTCCCTGTTTTTGCATCTTAAATTGACTTGATGGAATTGTCACAGTTAGCATTGATACATTATCATCAGTCTGGCTCTGTACTGTACCCAGACTCTCCGAGGTTTACCCCATTTCCCTTTTGTGTTCTAGGACCCTAGCCAGGATCCTACAGGTCACCTAGTCCTTGTGTCTGCATAGGTTAGAGTACCCGGGATTCACTGTGTAGGAAACCCCATGCAAATCTCCACTTGCACAGGCAGAGCCAGCTGTGACATGGACCAGTGAAGTATCGTTCAAAAAAGTCGCAAGCTTTGGCCTTGAACTTCCTTCTTCCAGTTCTGCCTCCACTGGCCCAGAGGAGCACAGTGATAACTGGTACTTGTACTGTGCCTCCAACTTCTGGGGCTTCAAACTTAGGTCTTCATGGTTGTGTAGTCCACCCCTTTACCCACCAAGCCATCTCCCCAGCTCAAAAGAATGTATTTCTTGATGTTGTGAGCATAGACGAAAATTTGACATTGTTGCAATTATCGTGGGGTGAATTACAGTACTGATGTCAACACCCTAGTAGAAGAGATCCAGAAAGCAGAACCTCTGATCACAGTGTCCCGGACACAGCAAGTCAGACTCCTGGTCCAGCGGTTGCAGGAGAAACTCAGGCAGCACTGTGACCACAACTTCTACCTGTTCAAGGTAAGGAGTGCTTAGGGACACCAGGACCACGGCAGCTACCTGCTAAAGGCATGCTTAGGGACACCAGGAAGGACAACTTGGGTGCATTATTGATTTGTCTTACAAGTAGTATCTTACCTTAAAATATGTTTAGGCTTTTTTTCTAGACAAATACTTAAGTGGTTTTAGTATTTCACCTACATTAGGCCAAGATTGACCTTCAATAGGTATTTGTTGAAAGGATGGATGAGTTCGAAATATTGACTTCTTGAGGTGTTCAATAAGGATTTGGAGTAAATTTATTTTCCTTTTAAATCTAATTACTAAAATTATTTTCTAGTTACAGTACTTCTAAGAAGTTGTATTTCTTGATATATCAACATTCTTCAATTTTGCTTTATCATAAACTAAACATTAAGTCATTGAATTATTGACCAAATGTAGTGTAAATATTTTTTCTCTGTTAGTTTCTGACTAACTTAGAAATATAACATGCATCTATGTAATTACTTAAGAATAGCTTTTTAAATTAAGTTTAAAAATTTGTTCTAAGGTTGCTTCATGTTATACTGACTTTATTTTTATGTTTTTAAGGTGTTATTATAATAAATACTCTTTATTTTGTATTCATTGGTTTTGCCTGATTAAAAATATCCAGGTTCTCCTTGGTTCTCATCCATTCAAGTTCCTAGAAAATAAGGCTTTTCATGTTTTATTTTTTTCTACAGCAGGTGGCACTGTTCAATTACAAATAAAAGCTGTGTAACTACCTTGACCTTGTGAATTCTCATGTAAGGGAACAACAACATAATTGATAGCAAAAGGGGAAGCTATTAATAGTTGTTCTTTAGAAGCAGACATATCTGAAGCTGACTCACCCTCACTAACCACTCAACCAAAAGGTTATTCAATTACTATATTTATTCAATGAATAGTCATTAAACACCCACTAACTGATAGATAATGTAGGGGTTCAAAGATAAATGAGACATTCCAACTTAAGAGAGTTTTAGGATTGGAAAAGTAACAGTGTATTGTAAAATATATTTGAAACACGTTTAAGGTTCTTTTCTTAAGTACATTGTTTAAACATCTATAGAAAACCATGTGTACCATATACAAAATAATGCGTGAAAGAATACATTTGGAATCTTCTTCAGTAGCCATAATTTATCTCAACAGTAAATTGATACTGATAGGAAGTGAAGAGTCAATTACTTTTTGTAATTATGTATGGCTATTGAGAGTATAGTTTGTCTTTATCAGAGGCACGCTGCTGTTTTATTTCTACTTTGTCTGACTATTGGGTCCTGTCCATTTACTACATATGTCTAAGAATACATAGACTGTCACCATTTGTTTGAAATTAAAATAGATACACTTAATTCTGTGTGAGTCCAAAATAAACTGTGTTTCCTTCCTTTGAAGGTTCTCAGAGCACACATACTGCCATTGACCAATGTGGCACTCAACAAAGCAGGCTCATGGTAAGGTCCCCTTGTTCTTTTTCACTTTTAGCAATCAAAGGGTGAACATTTCTAAGGGTTCTCAGGTTCTCAGTTTCAGACCTAATACGGCCATCTCTTGGATTTCCCGATCCTGATGACTACAGAGGAGAGATGCAACCTCCTGCTCCCAGGGCTGTAGCCCCGGGTTTTCTTTATGTTTGTGTCATTTTGTGTGAGAGGCACTAGGAGGTGTCATCCAGTACTGTAGCTGAGACTAAGAAGAAACAGAACAGTCCCTGGACGGCTGACTTTTTGCCTGGGCTGTAGAAGCTGTCAATTAGAGGCAGCACTGGGGCTGGTTGGGATGCCTTGGCTCAGAGCAGGCCCTTTCTCTCTAGCTCTTAGAACCACCAAAGCGGTGTTCAGAAAACGCTTTGATCGCTTGGGATCTGAGGGCCTGGTTAAGAAAGTTGAGACAAAAGGATCATTTAGGAATGCAGACATGCAAATATGCCTTATCACTCCGCCAAAATTGCTGTCATAAAAGAACACAAGCGAAATGGCTCTCAATCAGAAACTTGTTTTGATATTGTTGAATGTAATCACAGAGGGTGTGTAGAGATTAGGGGAAGAGGGGTCAGTGATAATGTCAAAAGTTAATCTGAACAACCGGGAGCATAATCTTACAGTGATGTGTTTGGAGTTTCACAAAAGTCATAAATGTCATAATAGCACACACTTTGATTGTTTAAGAATACGTATTATTGGAACAGAGCTGGAAGATTTACTTTTTATTTAGTAAGTTTTTAAGTCAAAGGACTTGGAAACTGTCCTTTGTTTTGAATGTATAATTTTCCACTCTTAAAAGGCATATCAAAGGATAAGAAAAGGGTTATTATCCAGTGGGGAAAAGAAACAAAAAACAAAACACAAAAACCAGCGAGGTATTTATGAGCACCATGCCTGACATTTTCATAGTGCAACATGCTCATGTTTTCTACATTAGCTTTATCACAGGAAGCTATGATCGGACATGCAAAGTGTGGGACACTGCATCTGGAGAGGAGCTGCACACCCTGGAGGGCCACAGGAATGTGGTTTACGCCATAGCCTTCAACAATCCATATGGGTATGTTCATTTCATTCCCTCACACCTTCGTGACTCGCATAATCATCCCACCACCTACTGGGGTGACCACAGGAAGAAGAAAGTATTGAAATTTATTGAGTTTCCACTGTATTTCTTGGCAACCTTTTCAAGTCTCTTTCAGTTTTTACTGCCTTTGGGAATAGTTTTTAAAGAATTGAAAGCTGATGCAACCTTCCAGGGAACACTGTGTGGAGAGTTAGCTGGAGTTAGTAGTCAGAGATACTGACCACGAGAAAGGAATAATTGATGTACAGCACTGTGGTCCAAGCTCTGGGGAGCATGACATGCATAACATGATTTCTTTTATTTTTTTTAAGTGAACATTCAGTCTTGTGGAGAAGAAAAAAAAATATGCTAAGTAGCAGAGAAAACACGCTGATTAGCAGTGCCAAGAAGAGTGGAGGCTCCTTTTCAGGCCAACCTCTTGTTAGATGACTCAGCACATTAAGAATGCTCTCTGTTTTTACCCATTGCATGTTTCCCATTCCCATGATACCGCAGGTGTTTACAGCCACATAGCTACCCATCACTGTGCTTGACTCTCCCGTAGCGAGAGTCTAAGCTTATCAAGCGGTAGTCATATGTTCACAAGCCTTTGCTTTCAACCATACTTGTGGCGATTACTACAGAATCTAATAGCAGAAATTATCAAGATAGTTAAAAAATATTATCTAAATTAATGAGGTGTGAAGATGAAAAGAGAGTTGCTGCCTTCTATGAAAGCAGTAGGCAGAATGTTTGAGCAAGTTCTTCCTAATTAAGTAGTGAGTAAGAGCCAATGGATTATTTGTCATTCCAGTGTATTTAAATTCTTTACATTTGTCATCCTATTTAAAATCTTAAAATACATGTTCCGTTTTTTATTTCACTATTTAAAGTTTTATATACACATGAGATCTTACACACACACACACACACACACACACACACACACACACACACACGCCAAGGCGTGTATGTGGAGGTCAGAGGACATTTCCCAGGAGCATTCACTTCTCTTCTTTCACCGTGTAGAGGCAGAGATGATTCTTACCTCAGTTTGGGCAGCAGGTACTTTTACTCACTGAACCATCTCTCCAGCTCCTTCTCATCCCATTTCCAAGAAAACAAAGCTTGGATCTGTGGGAATCCGTTGCATCTACCTCGGCCAACAAGGAAACACAACCATGGCTCTTCTTCAAGCAGTTTATTCGGAACCTTGTAATCAGCTTCTTCTTCCCCCAGCCCCAGCAAGCCCTTAAATGTGCGCTCACTGCCCAATCAGCTCATGCCACCTGGCGATCTCCGATAGGCCACAGAAGGAGGAAGCATACCAGATCCATCAAGCACTTCCAAATAAGGCTTGTTTACAGTTAAGCTCCGACTGCCTGGCATTCAGCCAGGCGCCATCTTGTGCTGTGGCTTCCCACAGGAATCCAGTCAGATTTCTGTAACCCAGGTGCTTAATTTGCAGACCCTGGGCCAGCTTAGTGAGTTCCATCCCAAGAGTGCATGGATGGGTGTACGTATTTGAGTAACATTTCAAAAAACTTGTTTTTCTTTCGCAAGCAATCCCTTAAAGTTACTTTATTCCATTAGTGAAAATGGTTTGAGGAATCTGATTTATTTATTTGAGGAATCTCACCATGATGGTGAGAACGAAACAGTAAGTGGTTTAACAGTTAAGAGGGACAAACCAGGGAGATTCCTCCTGGTTTGGGTGTCTTTAGGTGATGCGAATAAACCCTGCAGGTGGAAGCTTGGTGACAATACTAGTGTGAGGGGCAGTAGCCGCTTGGCAATTCACCAGTGGCTCAGCCAGTCTGTCTCTGCAGTGACTGTTTCTGGCGGAGGGATGCAAGGCTGAGGTCAGCTTGGATTGTGGAGGGCACACCATCCTGCACGGCTGGACTGCTCACAGAGCAGTGAATACTGGAGTGGAACAGTGAAAGTGCTTTTGACAAGGATTGCTCTGGCAGACTGAAAGGGTCAAAGGCACATGTGAGGAGGCAGGGGACTAGCTCACAAGGCATGGAGCTTTCTTTGACAGAGTGGCAGAAGAGGACAATAGCATCTATAAGATTGTTTGCACTTAGACTAGAAATTTTGTGTCACAGTTAAAACAATAAACGTGGACTTTTGTGACATGTATTTTTAAAATATATTAATTATGATGGCACAATAAACTTACATTGGTATTATAAAATGATTAACTATGCAGAAAAATTAACTTTTGATGCATACATGTTTGCATTATAGAGAATGATAATTTTTATAGTACCTTATCAAACTAATCTGCATCAATAAAAACTTTCATTGAAAATACAAATGACACTGTTTAAATACTGATGTGATCTTTAATTTTACTAAATGTTCTTTAGTAGTCTATTTAACAGGCATGATATTCTTGTTAATGTGAACAAAGTTTTCTGGAAAGAGGCATATATTCCTGTTCTATTGGATTCTACGATGTGTCTCATGAAAATTCACATGTCAAATTATGAAAATAGTCATCCCAGTCTGATGATTTATTTTTGAACTAAAGCATAGTTTTTCCGTTGCACCTCACTGTATTTTGCTTCAGAGAAATAAGTTTGAGATAGCTATCAATGAATAAGATGGAGTGTGAGTGTGTGTACTTATACGTTTCTGTCTAAGAGTGTATGTGTTTGTGTGTGTGTGCTCACTTAGTGTTTGTGTTTCTTATGAAGTTAAGTGTAAATTTGTCATGGAGTACAAATTATCTAAGAGACCACAAGTTCAGTCTGTTATCATCCTGGTGGGACATGGCAGCATGCCGTCAGACATGGTGCTGGAGGGGTAGCTGAGAGTTCTACATCTTGCAGGCAACAGGAAGTGGTCTAAAACATTGGGTGGTGTCTTGAGCTTATGTGAGTTCTCAAAGACTACCTCCAAGATGTCTCACTTTCTCAAACAAGACCACATGTACTCCAAACAAGACCATACCTCCTGATAGTGCCACTCACTTTGGAGGCCATTTTTTTCCAAATCATCACACCACAGGAGGAGCCCTTCTGAGACTTTGGAGCCTATTCTGTGGAGGTGCACCAGGATAGAGCTACCTCGGAGCATCCACAGAAAGGTCCTTGCTTCATTTAGTCCCAACAATTGCAGATGCACTGAGTGGCCTGGGACCAGAGGAAAAAGGCTAGATATCAGTGCTAGTGTGGACAAATGTAGTTCTTTACCTGTCCTGGGCACTTATACCTTCTTTTAGTATATGTGACTTGGACCTTATGGCCCAGTCCATATGCTTTTGAAAAAAAAAAAAAAAGAATCTTTAGCAAGTGAATATGTGATGATAATGTAGGGACTGTGAAAACCAGAAGAGGGTATTGGATCTCCTAGAATAGCAGTTGTAGGCAGCTATGAGCCACTTGATGCTAGCGCTGGGAATCAAACTTGGATCCTCTTCAAGACTAGTACAGACTCTTAACTCCTGGGCTGTCTCCCCTACTTCAATACGTTGCTCTCTCATGTGGGTTCTGGGCTTTGAATTCAGGATGTCATGCTTGTGTGACAAGTACTTGAACAGCTGAACCACTCATCTGCCCACAGTATTCCAACCTTTGGGTCTATCCTCTCTAAATGCCTTTACAACAGGAATAATTTGGTGTTATTTTCTCAAGGAATCACTGAAGTGGAAGTTCTCAAGATCTTACCAACTATGTGCCTCCCTAGATTCATCTCTGTGACTTCCCTCCTTTAAATTTAGTGTTTCCCTTTTGTATGGCTGTATTAGAGTTTTTGTATGTTCATACAACTAAGGTTGCATATTAATGGTATCCATGTAGCTAATTTTATTTTTTTAACTTGTATTGTGTGTGTGTGTGTGATTGTATTTCATATCATGTACTTTGATCCCCCTTATCTCCCTTGCATTTGCTCTCTACCTTTGCATCCTCCTCCAATAAACCAAAACCAAATTTAAAATAAAATACAAAACCAAACAAAATAAAGAAATAAAACACAACAAAACCAAAAACCAACCAACCAACCAAGCAAACAAACAAACAAAAAATCATAAGGAAGAGTCTTTTTGTGGAAGCTGTAGTGTGGCCTGTTGAGACACACACTTTATTTACCCTTTAGTGTATTTGTCTTTACTTGCAAGTATTAATTGCCTCCAGTCATTGGTTTGGCTCAAGGCCTCTGGTCTCTGCTATAGCCCAAATTATGGTCTCTCACTAGGGCTTCTCTTGGATTTCCTGTTGTTGTCCTGTGTCATAGAGATCCTGCTGTTTTGGATTTGTAGGTTCATCCCCTTCACATGCTCCAACAGTTCTTAAAGTCAGTGGATGTTTGGAATGGGCCAACTCCTAGCCTTGGCTCTGAGCCTGGGTGGTAGCTGGGTTGGTCAGCTCACTGGCTTTCCATCATTGTTACTACTTGGATGAGCTCTCCAGCACTGCCCAGGGTAACTCACCCAATGCAGCCTACAGCAAGGAGTGGGGCCAGTTCTCCTGCTCTAGGGCTTTCAGATCCAGGTCCCCCTCATTCTTCTCACCAGGGCCAGCTCTAGTGTTTTGCCCAGGCAAGGTGCAGGGCCCTCTGTCCTGATTGGTATAGGGGACATGTGTGGGGGGGGAAGGGGCCAGCCTTCCTGCTCTCATGCCCTCTGGGCTGGCTCACTTGCCTGCCGGAATCAGGGTCAGCTCCTGGGTGCTGAAGCTGGTGTGGAACAAGGGCTAGTTCTCTCACTCTTTTTTTTGAAATTACATTGTTATGTTAATTCAAAATTTGTTATAATTCCAAAAACATATTCATACCTTTAATGCAACATCTTTAACATCCATACACATGAATTGATACCACTAAAAATCAGATCAGTTTTGTTCCTCATTGGCACAAACATGAAATTGCTTATTTTAACGGTGCCGTGTATGCCTGCCTAATTAGGGCGACAGCCATGTGTTACCATGTCTAGTCTTAGTTCAGTGTATCATGCAATGTGGCTGAGCTTGTTTCTAAAATCCAGACCTTTGAAATTTTCAGTGACAAAATTGCCACCGGGTCCTTTGACAAGACCTGTAAGCTCTGGAGTGCCGAGTCGGGAAAGTGTTACCACACCTTTAGGGGTCACACAGCTGAGATCGTGAGTACAGCTGACACTCTGGGAACTCCTTCACGTTGCTCTTCCTATGAAGACTCAGTTGTGAGAGTGGGGGTTGCTTTCATATTGTGTCTTCCAACTTTGACTCAGTATTTTTCGTTTCCATGGATTGTCCATGTGATCCTCACCACTTATGAGTTAACCACTCACAGAGTTGGTTAGGGTAGCCTGCAGTGATGATGAGTAATCATGTGATTGGCATCTGAGTGTGATGGGAAGCCCTCCTCTCTTGTTTACATTTGCTCTATGAAGGTTAATGAAGTTACCACAGTAGCTGGAAGATAATCTGTGAACCATGTTGAGGATGCAGGCTGATTATTTCATGACTCCATGAGGATTTATGAGGTTATCACAGTCACTGTAAAATAACTTCTGTGAACCATGTTGAGTGTGCAGGCTATTTCATGACTCTATAACAGTTGATGGAGATATAGTCTCTGTAAAATAACTTCTGTGAGTGTTCAAGCTGATTACTTCATGCATTTCAATGGGATTCAGACTTGGACAGGTCATCTAAAAACCCTATATAAGTAGCTTTCCCTATGGGGAGGCCCTTGTCCCTGTCATCTATCCTACCTTATGTCAATTAGCTATGTCCCCAGAGTCCTTTAGAATTTTGAAATGCTTTTCTTTTGCATAGAGTTTCTATTAAGACAGCTATATAATTTCATGCTCAACAACATCTATCAAATAAACACTAAATGTGAACCATGTGTGAAGAGTCATTGAAATAGCTCAGTTGATAAAGTGCTTGCTTAGCTGCATCATATGGCCCAATCATTGCATAAGCTAGAGGTGGCCAGGTATCCCTGTAATCCCAGTCCTAGGAAATGGAGGCAGGAACATCAGATCAGTCATTCTTGGCTACATAGGGAGTTCTAGGCCAAATTGGGCTCAAAAGAATCAAAATAAACCCCAAAACTACCTTTACAGCTAATCTGAACAGTAGTTGTGGGATGCTTGATGGGATTAGATGCAGGATTTTGTTGCTCAGGGGTTTTTAGTTCAGTAGAAGTAGTAGCCACATCACTGGATAGTTTAGAGAAGTGTGTTTATTGTGCTAGATGTGTGTGGTGACACCAGTGAGGCTATAAGAGAGTGGGGAAGTCAAGTGTCCTTGACCAGGAAAGATGTTCAGAAAGAATGACAGAGAAGGGGCACGTGTTTCCAGACACAAAGATCAGCACTCCCTTGTTCCCCAAGCTGTACACCCATGGGGTGTTTATGAGAATTCAGATACCTCTTTGTGATCAGAGAACTCAACCTTCTTCTGAGAAGACATGCATAGAATATGCAACATGAACTTGCTACACACACATTGGCTGAGTTTCCTAATACACCTGGTCCAGGGTGATGGACAGAGAGGCTCTTGTGATGCCCAGCTTCCTGGGTTACTGGCATCCATGTCTCTGTACATCTATATCTAGCCAAAGCCAGAAGATTAAGTAGAAGTGAATGAATGGAAGAGGCATGCAAATGTCATGTGACATATCTAAGGGGACTTATATGATGACATACTAAGAAACCCGGGCTTTATCTTGTGAGTCATGAATGCTAAGCTATGTGAGTCATGTCTGTGAGGGTTATGCCTGATTGGGTTCTCTGATATTAATTTTTTTTAGCATTATGGAAAAAAATACCTGAGGCATTTGAGATCAAAGATTTATCGTGGTTTAATAAGAATCAGGATAAACAAATAGGCCAAATAGATGTTTATTCAGGGAGAAATAACTTACAACCTAGACAGATGAAGAGCAAGTTCCACTCCGGGTCCTGCCAGCAAGAGAGTATTCCCTGGCTCCTCCCCAGACCTAGTTCCACAGGTCACTTCTGCCCCTGGCTCCACCCCCAATGGGAGTGGTCATTGCCGCAGAAGGAGACAAAGTGAATATCCCACTACAGAGGTTTCTGCTAGTTAGGGATCTACTACTATCTAAGTGATCCATGATGAAGGCTGCCCTAAAGTAGATGAGGTGAGAAGTTTTAATGGAGTGGAGATAGAGGTGCTTATTTATCACATATCTGAGGAAGGAGGAAAGGGGAATCTAGGATGATTCCTTGTTTGGGAGTTTATGTTACAGTCAGTGCCAATCCCCAATTCTGTGCATAAGAGGAGGTACATGACTTTTGAACCCCAGATAGATTGAGATGCCTATGACATCTAACAAGGATCCTTTGTCATTGGCTCATTATATTTGACAACATCACATCTGAGAACAGGAAGATGATTCATTAATAATGCTGATATCCAGATTAGTTTCCATGGTCAGGTGATGAGTCAGGAAGTGTGTATGATTCCAAGTTCTTGCTGGATAAAGTTAATGTTAAGAGTTTGCATGGAGAGTGCACGTGATTGGTTAAAGGTAATGGTATTGAGAATGCTAGAGGTAGTGATGTCTCATTGTCATCAGTTGAATGATAATGTTAGACTAGGAGACAAGGTGGAGGTCTTGAGGAAATGGAAGGTATCCTGGAACAAAGATGGGGTGGCAGATGAGGAAGAAAACTGAAAGTATTTGGGAATTGAAAACAGAGATGTACTAGCTGGTGATAAAGATACAGGCACAATTGATAATGGGAAGACTAAAGGCATGTGTCTGAGGCTACTAGAAAGATTGCTTGCAGAGAGGCCATCCAGGACATGGAATTGACTCACTGAGCCAGAAGTCACAGTTCCTCACTGAAGAGTATGCTCAGACTGTGATTAAAGCTACAAGGACTTAGGGAGTCCCTAGCATGAAAGTCACAGGAGATGAGCTGTGCTTTGGTTCTTACTGTTCTGTGTTCTGGAAGCTGTGAGGGAACCTATGATGGTGATGGTACAGATGACATGAGAAGAACAACGCCTCTCTTTAGGAGGAGATTGCTTGGGATTTTACCTGGAGATAACAGGTTTCTCACTCTGATGGCTTGGTGTGCTCTTATACAAACCATTAATTAAGCCTAAATCTACTAAGGTATTTGCAAGCGTTTCAGTGCATAATTATGGGCTGGAAATATGTTTCTAAAGTTTCTCCATTTCATGTGTTGTGTTGTAGGTGTGTTTATCATTCAACCCACAAAGTACAGTGGTTGCTACTGGAAGTATGGATACAACGGCCAAATTATGGGACATTCAAAATGGAGAGGAAGTGGTCACTCTAACAGTATGTCTATATTGCCAAAAAGTCATAATATTAACCATCTGTGTTAATTATTAGTTATATTTGTTATGTAGTAAAGGTTATGTTAGAAGTAGTCTTTGAGCCACTGGCATTTAAACCATGGGAGATGCCGCAGTTGGTTTGCTGACATTTGGGGCAGCCTCAGGTGAAGGTACTGGAGAAACCAAACTGGATTTTGATTTTTCTATTTAAACCACATAATCGTAGCATCCCTCATCTATCTAGCTGAAAGAGAATGGGTAGGGGCTGTTATTGTTAGGAAGATGCACAGTTGAAGAGCCATGCCAGATGATTGCTCCCCTCTGCTTTCTTACCCAGCTTCATATTCTTCTGGGTTACATAGAATAAGGGACTGAAAGCGCAAAGACCAAAGGGCATGACTGTATCAGTCTTGCCTGTTACAGTAGCCACACCCTTTTGGGTATGGCTTCAGACAGAAGGGGAAAGAAAGAAGCTTGAGGTATGGCTTCTTTTTGTTCGGTCTCGCTCTTGGGTCAGCGATCCTTAGAGAAGCACTCCCGGGGTTCTTTGTAATTTTCTGTGTAAGTATTCTCCAATAAACACCCATTTATCATTGGGTCTAGTGAAATCATTATACTCTCACCTTCACATGACCCACCAAGGCAATGCCTTTTCTTTCTTTCTTTCTTTCTTTCTTTCTTTCTTTCTTTCTTTCTTTCTTTCTTTCTTTCTTTTGTCTTGCCTGTTACCATCATATTTCTGACACCTTCCCTTCCCAGAGCCTCTCACCCTCCACTTCATCTCACCCAGCCCAAGTGGCCACAAGTGGAAAAAAGTATACTGTAGTGAGTGGGAACTATCAGAGAGTGGTCTTGAGTAAGTGAATTTTCAAAACTCAAACTAGACAAGCACAAACATGATACTTTTTCTAAGAAAATTAAAAGTAGACTAAACGGGGGGGGGAGCATTATTTTAAAGTTTATTCTAACAGTTTTTCTCTTTTAAATCTGAGGATCTAGCATTAATAACGTCAGTATGGGACAGTGTTTCCTGACTGCCTTTTCTTTCAGGAGCATGTGGAGAGAAAACTTCATTTTATTTGGTATCTGTTTCAATATATTTTTCCCTACTGACTCGGCTGCGCCTGTATGTATCTGCGTATGCGCTTGCATGCCTGTCCAGTGGTGGAAAGCAAACCTGTGTGTATGTGTCCAAAATTCGGGTGCTCAGCTTTGCTTCACTTTGTCAGCAAACCAATTCATAAATGAGCTTTTCTATTCTCTGCTATTCTATTATCTGCAAATATAATCAAGGGCTGAGAAGATTTCTCAGCTGGTAAATCCCTCTGAGTAAGCATGACATGTTGAGTTCGGATTTCTTGCATTCAAATATAAGTCAGATTACAACTCCAGAGCCTGGGATGGCAGAGACTGATGGGTCCTAGCCAGCCAGCCTAGTCCAACAGTCAACTCCAGGTCTAGTGAGAGACTCAGTCTCAAAAATACTAAAGCAAATAGTGATGGAGAAAGATGTATGAAGTTGACCTCTGGCCTCCACAAATACCTACACAGACAATTACATCCACATACATGTCCAAATATACATATATCACAGAAAGAGAGGGTAATCCTAGCAATTTAGAGGTTGAGACAGGAGCATTATATATTTAAGGTTATAGTGCAGAAGCAAAACAAAATAGAAATAAAGGTATTTAATTGTGCTTACTTACTGAAATAATTAAAATGATGTGTTACAAGCAGTTTTGCCTCCAGCCTGGTCCCAGAGCCACATCAGTCCCAAATAATACAGAGACGCTGTATTAGATATAAAGCTGTTGGCCTGTTACTAGTGTTTCTTAGTGGCTATCTTTGCCTTAAATATGAGAACTATTGTTAACAATATTAGTCCATTAACATTTAGCAAGATTTAAAGAAATTATCTATCCTGTCTTTGTGAGTCTAAACTCCTATATGTAACTTATCTTTAAACCCTACTAAGGAAAACTATAACCATAACTATCTGTCTTCAACTCCATCAAAGACCACAGAAAGATAATAAACTCTAGAAATGACAGAAACATCTCACTACCTGGTCAGTCACCTGAAGTTCTTCTGTAGTGTTCCATCTTCAGCCTATAGGCCATAGTGTATCTGTCAGACTTCTCAGCAAAGTAGAAAATTTCAAACTGTCTCACCTGTATTGGCAGTTTGTCAGTCACTTATCTCTGTGTCCTGTAGAATGTCTGGCAGACTCTTTCACGAAGCAGTGCCCATCTTGTTTCAGCAGTCACTTTACTGTGTGTTCTGCATGTGCAGTTTAAACAGCATAAAGTCAAACAGTCCAGACAAGAGCAGTATCTTGTCCAAATGGCTACTCTTGCCATACTGAAAGCAAACTCCATAAGGAGTTTCTTTGACATCCATCTTCCTTTCTGATGAAGGTGGTGTTGCCAGGAGCAGTTGTGCCTCACTGTTAAGAAAAACCCTAAACCATTTTAAATTCCATATTCTGTGGCTCTTTGAAAGGTTTGAAGAATGCCTATCCATTGCAATCACATCTCTGTATATCTAGAAAACCTAACTCACCTAACTATAAGTTTTGACTATTATAGGTAACTATAATTATACATTGCATTTAAAATGAGCTATATAAACACAATACCTAAACAAGAGGAGAAATATACTTGTCACAATATTGACCTTAAATCTGTACCAATAAATGAAAATCCATCCCAAAACAAAGTATTCATATCTATACCACAATCCCCTTTTTACCTTTAAAAAGAGATTGGTTGTGGTCATTGACCATTTATAACCAGCTCCATATAAATGAAAACAAACATTTATAAACAATATTTGGGAATTTGGGTGTCGCTCTTTCCAAACTGCTTCCTGCTGGTAGGGGGTGCTGTCATAGGGATCCTAAGAAGACACAGAAATCTTGGCTGTAGTCTGCAAGGCTGCTTTGTCCCAGCTGTTTTGAATGTTGGATCACCTGGGACACTGTTTCAAGGGGTCTTGCTTGATCAAACCATGTTAGTCTAGAAGGAATCATAGCTTTTTATTTTCTGTGGAAACAAAAAAAAAAAAAATTCTTTTCCCAGTAACCTGTTCTTAGACTTAAATTTTGAAGTCAAAGTATTTTTAAAATATATAAATTGGATTAATTCAACAGCATTGATAATCAAGTGCTTTGTAGCAATTGTTTCTTTCTTAGCAATTGAGCAATTCAAAGACAACACAATAACATACAGTATCCAGACTTTCTATGTATTTTCCACTTTGTTTTTTCATTTTTTTGAGATAGGGTTTCTCTGTGTAACTTTTATCTGTCCTGGAATTAACTCTGTATGCCAGGTTCGCTTTGAAATCACAGAGATCTGTTTGGCTCTGCCTCCCGAGTGCTGGAATTAAAGGCGTGTGCCACCACACCCAGCTACTCACTTTCTTTTAATTTTTTTAAACTACTTTATCCTGTTTCTTTTTCTCTCCCAAGCCTACATATATTTTAAAGCACACCATAAACCTTTAGAGGTGTTTCTTAATCTGAATCTGTCTTTACTGTAAATCTTTATCTTTTTCTGGCCACAATTCTTTTATCTGGTAAACAACATTGTTAAAATTAAAGCTATAGCTGTATTAGCTGCACTCTATCCAAGATGGCAGGGGTATGTTTACCACCAGAACTGAGAGTTATGCTCACTGCCTTGGTCTTCACTGCATCCAGTAGCATGCTGCTGGATTGGAGATATGGTCACTGCCATTGCCAGCTCTCGTATACACCATTACGTTGTTAGCAGGGCTTCTTAAAAGCCTTGAGGCTTTTTGTTTTTTGCTGCTATGCTGAGTCAGGAAACCTCACTTAAAGGAGCCACGCAAATCTCTGTTTGTCTTTAGAAAAACAGAGTCCAACCCAGAAAAACACTGCTACCAAGAAGCTTTGCTTGTCTCTGTTCTTTTGTTTCTAAAACCCCTTTTTAAGTTTTTGTTAAGTTTTAAGTGGAAGTTCTTAGTACCCACGCTGTTATGTGCAGTTTTCCCTCTAGCCTGGTCCCAGAGCTGCATCAGCCCCAAATAATACACAGAGACACTGTATTAGATATAAAGCTGTTGGCCTGTTACTAGTGTTTCTTAGTGGCTAGCTCTGTCTTAGATATTAACCCATTTCTAGTAATCTAAGTATTTCCACGTGGTCTTATTTTACTGGAGAGAGGGTCCATAGCTTCTTCTCCCTCAAGTCTCTACATGTTGGTCTCTACATGTTAATCCCCTAGTACATCTCCCAGAATCCTCCTTGTCTCCTAGTCCTGCCTATCTTGCTTTCCTATTTGCCAACCGTGCTTTATTCATTAACTAATAAGAGAAACGGATTTACAGAATGGCATCTCCCATCGATGATACTTGTTTTACAAACAAGATCCTCTTTCCTGATTCTCATAATTTGCTGTAGGAGGAACTTCATATGGTCTTATGCGGTGGGCTCCTTAGGTCTAGCCTAAGGAGGGAAAGACAGGTCATGGGCAGCTGCCTATCATCAACCAGTTCCACACCATACTATCATAGGAGTTTCTTCCTTTTTAAAGTTACATTATCTTGTCTACTAGTGTTTTTTGATCTCTGCTTATTATCATGACTACCCAAAGATAACCCTCCTAGTCTTCCCAGGATAATGGGAAAGACCTTTTCTAGCTTCTCCAAACATATTCTTTCATTTTCAAAATTACCCAGTCTGTCCTACACCGGTTTCACTGTTCTGCAATGAACCTGCTTGAAGTGTGCAAGGCATTTCGCTTTGCTGATTTACTGTGTATATCACCAAATTCTGGTCTCTCAACCTCCTTGTCACCCTGAAGAGAAAGCTTTACATATGTGCAGCCCAGCCCAGCCTGGCCCAGATACTCTTGTTTACATATATTCTTATCTATGTTCTCTCATTTACACGTGTGTATGAATGTGTCTGTTCTTTTCCCAGGGTCATTTGGCAGAAATAATTTCCTTGTCATTTGACACCTCAGGAGACAGGATCATCACGGGATCCTTTGACCACACAGTTGTAGTATGGGATGCTAGTACTGGAAGGTAATTTTCTAGATATTTTTTATCTGTGTCAGTAGTTAAGAAAAATCTATGTTATATATTAGCTTATCCTTGCCTAAGTTGTTTATGATTTAAATTCTGCAGAAGTATGACTCATAGTTAATTTTTAAAAACATGTTTTAGCAATTTGCATGCATGTATGTATGAGCACCACAAACATGTCTGGCATTTTCATGATTGAAAGCCAGCATGTAGGTGCTAGGAGCTAAACCTGGGTCCTCTGCAAGAGCAGCCAAGTGCTTTTAACCATGAGTCATCTCCCCAGTCCCCAGGTTGTTATTTAGTGTTATTTTGGATCCACAAAATAAGAGATTTCCCATAATTCTAGGCAAATAATACCAAACAGCAACATGACAGGAGAATGTTATGAAGAGATTTGTTGCATAGCTATTATTAGTCCCATGTACTATATAATTAAGTTTCAACGATATTTTATTATGGTAAGGCTGAGTATCATGAATTAAAGCTCGTAGTTTTAATTCCCAAACCTAATTTGGCCCAGGAACTTCAATTTCCTTTCTAATGGTTGTTGGTCTTACTTGTCAAGAAGTTAGCTAAATTAGCATATTTGTGTTGGAAAACTCCACTCTTGAACTACAAATTTGGATAGAGGGATTCATTACCAGTGCTATTATCCAAGAGCATGAGTGAGGGAAGGTCATTGCAACCATTGAATTCACAGCTCCCGAACACCCAATAGGTCTGTGGGACCCACTAATGTGTTTTCATTCATTCATGAATAAGCTAGCTAATTAATTATTTTTGGAGTCGGAGTCCCATATAGAAAGCTTTGAACCCTTTCTGTAGCTGTGGATGACCTTGAACTTCTGTTCTCCATTCCTCCATCTTCTGATTGCTGGTACTATAGTCATGTGCCACCACACTTAATGTAATACTGGGATTAAACACAGACTGTTCTTCATTCGATGAAAGCAAGCACTTTGCTATCTGAGCTACTTTCCTAGTGCTCACTGATTTTAAGACCAGTTCTAGAATTTTAGGCTACCTTTATGAATCATCACCTATTCTTTTCTGAGATGTTACTTTAAGTAAGCTATAGTTTTCAGTTTTATTTTAATTGTACATATTTATGTTACAGAGCAAACTATTAAATGATGAAAACAGGGTAGTTAACATCTCCATCTCCTTAAATACTTTTTACAAAGTCGAATTAATATATTTTTGAGTATAGTATGAAAATGTGCACATATGATACAACATGTTACTGATTAAATCAGAAACTATCGGAGGCTATAATAAGTCAGACACAATCATATTACCTGTTGAAACAAAGGTTTATTTTTTATTATGCATATGAGTGTTTTTGCATTCATGTGTATACATGCATCAAATGCCTGTCTGGTGCCCAGGGAGTCTGGGAGAGGACATGAGATCCCTCGGAACTGGTTACAGGTGGTCACAGGCTGTCATATGGGTGCTAGGAACTGAAAATGGATCTCCTGGGTACAATGAGTGCTCTTAACTGTTGAACCATGTCTCAGTCATATTACCTTTGGTTGTGTAAAACTTATGTGTATTTTCACTGGAATGGGTGTGCTCTTTTTGAGTAACAGCAAAACTATTTTGTTTTATTATAAAAAATGTAATTTTATAAACAATAACATTTAGTTCACATGCATGGGCTTGACTGTATGAGCACATGCTGGAGTTTAACACTTGCATTTTTACTGTTAATCTGACACAACCTACAACAGTGCTTCCCAACCTTCTTAATCTGTGACTGTTTAGTACAGTTCCTCATGTTGTAGTGACCCCCCATAAAATTATTTTAATTGCAACTTCATACTGCAATTTTGCTACTGTTATGAATCATAATGTAAACATCTGTAGAGATAGAGGTTTGCCAGTGGAGTTGTGACCAAGAGGTTGAGGACCACTGGCCTAGAGTCACCTGGGAAGAGAGACTGCAAGTGAGAAATCATTTTGATAAGGATGGCCCATGGACGTGTCTGTGAGAGACTGTGTTGATTGGGAATTGAGTTAGGAGGACCCATCACAGATGTGGGCAGTATCATTTCCTGAGCTGGGCTCTAAACTGTTAAGAGTAAAGAAAGCCAGCTGAGCAGGAGCAGAATCAAGCAGACAACTCTGGTGTGCAGTGTTCTTGTTTTCCTCTGAGGAGTGATCAGCTGTCGGAGCCCCTGCCTTGGCTTCCCTGAAATGATGGGCTGAATAATCCCTTCCTCTCCTATACTGCTTTCTTCAGGGTGTTTTGTTACAAAACTAGAAATGAAACCAGGACACCTTTCACCAGTTGTGACTATTTCTGTCTTGCAGGAAGGTGCACACTTTAATTGGCCACTGTGCTGAGATCAGCAGTGCCTTGTTCAATTGGGATTGCACTCTAATATTAACAGGCTCCATGGATAAGACTTGCATGGTGAGCTCAGATTTGGCCTGGCTTTGTACTGTGTCTCTTTCCTTTATACATTATTAGGTGTTCATCACAATACTAACAGACTTCAAAGAGGGAATACAATTAAACATTGATTTGTAAATAATTTCTGATTTCCATTTCAAGTCTCCAGTTTTCTAAGCTTGAAGGAACTATGAAGTGATAAAACAATTATGTTTGCTTCAAAGACAAGAAAAGTCCTGTTTGAAAAGCCACAATAATTTTTTCCAGTGTCCTGTTGTTTATTGAGTATGCTTTGATTGGCATGACACTCAAGGAGCCTCAAATAAGTTTCCTCCTGCCATTGAGTCTCTTCTCTTCAAAAAATAATTGCTGGGAGGCTATAATCATTTGCGCTTAATTTTATACAAATGGCATTCAGATCTCACGATGGATGTACTGTTCATTTCCTGTCATCATAGTCATCTGAAGTCTTTGCCACAGAAATGATCCCTTCATACCAATCCCTGAGGCATATCACTCAGGATTTTCTGAGTATCTCTGCTTTGATTTTCCTGTGACAAGATGGTTGGCTGTAAATCAAAGTGGAATTAACTTATCAGAGAGAATGATATGTATACTTTGATCACCATTATTTAGCGAGATACACTCCTATCATGAGATGGGCATCTTCCCATTTTGGGGAGGAATTTAGTTGCCTAGTTGATGGCTTCTGTCTCTCTCAATTTCAGTTGTGGGATGCTACAAGTGGGAAATGTGTAGCAACCTTAACAGGCCACGATGATGAAATACTGGACAGCTGCTTTGATTACACAGGGAAACTTATTGCAACTGCTTCTGCTGATGGTAAGCCATCTATTCAAACATTTAAGTATGGGGGAATTTATGTTTCCTTGGAAATGGTGCCTGACTCTATACCATGCTTCATCTCCCCAAGAACCTGCTATGGTAGAAACCTGTGCCTTATCTCCATGGTGACATGTATGTCACCACAGTGCGTCCCCATCACATTCTTTTTGTGTGTATGTGTTATTGGAGGATTGAATCTACAGTTTAGTTTGAGCTTAGCAACACTTTCTGCTGAGTTATATCCTCTAAGTTTTATTTTGAGGTAGGATGTCTCTAAATTGTCCATATGGCATTTGAATTTACTCTGTAACCCAGGTTGGCCTGAATTTGTAATCCTTCTGCTTCAGTCTCTAAATAGTGGGCATTTCTGACTGTGTCACAAATCCTGGGTCTGTGTTGCATTCTTAATCATCACATGTGATGTTTTTACATTGTCTGTGTCATCTCCTTCATAGAGCCACAAATGTCTCTACAGGTCTTTATGTCTTCTATATGTATGGTGCTGTATTCACAGTCATTTCTTCAATGATTGTGTGCAATGTTCCATTCTTTTGGGATTATCAACTTAGTCACTATTGATGTTACCATAATAAACTATGTCAACTCTTTAAGTAATGTACTGATCCACACACTACAGAATTGTATAGAGTAAGATATTGTTAATAGACATCATATACATACATATATAGGATATAAATATATCAGCACCTTATAAATAATAAATGCCCAGAGACAGATATTGGGATTCAAGCTGAAGATTTGAGAAGCAGAGCAACCAGCAACTGACTAGCTCTTACTACTGCCTCAGACTAAAAGGGTGATCCTCAGCATGACTGGAGACTGAATGCTAGCTCTGAGACCCTGTTCTTAACTTATATACCTCTCTAGTGCTGGGATTAAAGGTGTGAGATCTGTTTCTCTTTTAGACTGATTCACTATCATGTATCCATGAGTGGCCTTAATCTCGTAGTGATCCATCTGCCTCTGTCTTCTGAGTCCTGGGATTAAGGTGTATATCACCACTGCCTGGCCTCTATGGCTGTGGCTAGCTTTGTATTCTGATCTCCAGGCAAGCTTTTATTAGACTGTAAACAATATAGTGTCACATTTCCATATAGTGTCACATTTCCACTATGTCTACCAAATCCATATGAGAAACATGTCCTACAGTATGCTTCCATTACCTTGTTCACAGGCAAATACAATACCATATTATGTCTTCATCATCTGATGATCATGTATGTTTTTGAAACCTCAATTCCTTATTCTGATTTTGTACCATTGGCCTGATTAACATATATGGTGTTGCTTGCTAACTACAAATGGTGTTATAATATTGTGTATCCTTGTCCTTGATTGCCACACACAATGCTACACTGTTTCCATGAATTCTTCTTTATGTCTGTTCTTCAACAATGTTCTTAGTCATAGCTTTGATGACAATTTGTGGTCCTACACTGAATAGTCACAAAAATGCCTATGTGGTACCAGTCTATGTTTCATGTCCTTGAATACCAGTCATGATGCTGTGTACTGTGTGCTACTGAGAATGTTATATGTGAAGCTCTGTCAACCTTTTTATCCATAAATGATAATACATTGTCACCTCACTGATGATCGATCTCTCATGAATATCCACAATGTCAGCCACACTCTCTAAATGAGCATGTTTTATGCCACAATGTATCAGTCATAATTAGAATATAAACACCTCTGACACTATGGTAAATTTATGTCAGGTCACTTGCCATATTTACCTTATCTACCTTACAATGCTTGTGGTATATTTATCTACATGAGCTCTACTGGTAGCTTTTTACTCTATATGATACATATATGCATATATGCATACATGTATACATATATATGTATATACATATATGTATATATATATGATCTTTACCAACTGTATCTTACTTTATATGATGCTGATATATTTATATCATATATATGTATGTATATTATGTCCATTAACAATATCTTACTCTATACAATTCTGTAGTGTATATGTGTGAGATCTCTACTGACAATATCTTACTCTATATATTGCTAACACATGCACACATACATACATATATACACATATATATACATATACATTATCAATATTGACTATATTTTACTTTGTAATCTCTACAGATAATCTGTGTCGCATAACCCATTGAATAATGATGATATACTATATATGTATTATCTATGTGGAAATTAGGCTTATTATTTCACTGACTGTCAGATATTCACAATGCTTATATAATATTCTTGAAGATCATACATGATGCTGCATTAATATGCTATCTCTTTGCCAGCTATATGGCATTGCATGTCTACATAATTGCTGATAACTTAAACATGATTCTATTCTGTAGGCATAGTGCATTGCAACTATGCATTATGTTACACTGTATGTATACACTTTAGAATACTACATATGCATAAAATCAACATCATAAAATCAATCATGGGAATAGTACTTCTTATATCATAGCTCTGTAACTTTGCACAAAGGTTGTTATGAGCAGGGGCTGAGAAAGTGCTCAGAGGCAGGCAGATCTCTATGAGTTCAAGGCCAGTCTGGTCTATATAGTGAGTTCCAGGACAGCCAAGACTACATAATATGACCTTATCTCAAAAACAAACAAACATACAAGGTATTTAATGGGTCAATGCCATCATTCTGACATAAATCTCTTATGCTGCTGTCCTGTATTTCTAATATCCCTTTAATAGCTAGGCCCCATACTATATATTGTCTTATATCCTTGATCAGCACATTGAATGTGCTTTATCTCCAGAAAGATGGTGGCATGCACTGCCTCTGTTATCTTTCTGGTTGCCACATATAGTGCTGCACTGTGTCTTCAAGTCCCCAATAACTGTGTCTGATGACACTCTGTGTCTGTCTGGTCCTCCTGAGTCCCATGCATCATGATATGATCCAAGGCCTTGAAAATAACCAGAGATACATCTCATCATCTCATCATACATCACATTTGGTGAATAATGTCTGTCACATCAGTTTGATAATCTACTTATGATATAAGAATATGTTACAAGTTTATCTATGATGACAGTATGTTAAAATGTATCAGATGTATGACATCTTTTGACTACTGAATGACAATTTGAAGCATGTTTATGTCATTATGGTACCTTGCTATGTATGTTGACCATGTGTAATATACACTATGAGTTTCTAGTCTTCTTGGACAGACATAATACAATACTACATGTGTTTTATATGTTTAGCCAGGTACCATGCTTTCCCCTTTTCTGTGTCATAACTTTAGTATTTTTATAAATACCATGTCCCTAGTGATCCTATGTTATGTTGTACTGTTCTGTGTTACTCCCTAAAGCTCCTTTATGGTATCACTCCATATTTAGACAACCTCACTGACTGGATTGATTTCTATATTTGCACCTATGGCAGTATTGGGGTAAAACATTGCACAGCTTTATACAGAGTTTATTCTGAGTATTCATATGCTGATACTATATACATCTGTATCACTTCATTAATATAATGTTTGACCCCATATTCAGCTTGGTATCTAAAATATGTCATGATATGTCTTTTAAGTATATGTGATGTCATGGATCTGAATGACACATTTCCTTCATGAATTCTGTCACACAAAACAATGTATAATTATTTTATTTTATTATTTTAATTTTTCTTATTTTACAAATTGATTCCAGCTCCCTTTCCTTCCCTCCCTCCCTCCTATGCCCCCTTCCATTTCATCCCCTCCCCCACTCCACAGGGAGGGTGATGCCTTGCAGGAGGGATCATCAAAATCTGTCAAGTCATTTGGAGTAGGGACTAGGCTCTCCCTTCTGCCTCTAGGCTAAGGAAGTATCCCTCCATTGGGGATATGCTCCCAAAGTCCTTTCATGCACCAGGGATGCATCCTGGTTCCACTATCAGCGGTCCCAGGCCATCTAACTGAGACCCATGTCCAAGGGTTCTGAGTCTGTCCAATGCTGGTTTCCTAGCTATCAGTCTGGGGGTCCATTAGCTCCTCCTTGTTCAGGTCATCTGTCTCTTTGGGTTCTGTAGCCTGGTCTTGTCCCCATTTATTTATTACTCCTCCCTCTCAGCAATTGGATTCTAGGAGTTCGGCTCAGTGTTTAGCTGTGTGTGTCTGCTTTTGTTTCCATCAGTTGAGGGTTCTATGATGGCAGATAAGTTAGTCATAAATCCCATTATCAGGGAAGGGCATTTAAGATAGCTTTTCCACTGTTGCTCAGATTGTTAGTAGGGGTCATCCTTGTAGGTCTCTGGATATTTTTCTAGAGTCAGTTTTCTCTTCAAACCTATAATGGCTCCCTCTAGTATGGTATCTCTCTCTCTCTCTCTCTCTCTCTCTCTCTCTCTCTCTCTGCCTCTCTTTGCTCTCGTCTATTTCTCCCCTGACACAATCTTCCTAGTCCCTTATGCTCTCCTCTCCTCTCTACACTTTGTATGTGTAAGATGTTTGACATCCTGCATGGTACCACACTATGCTCCCATTACTTAGTGATATAACACGTGGTTCTGTATCATGTATTTTCTATCACTTTAAAATCCGTGTAAGAGTGGTTGGAGAGATGGCTCAGTGGTTAAGAGTGCTTGCTGCTCTTGAGGAGGACCTGTATTTGGTTCTACAACTCACATTGGGTGCCTGACAACTGTCTGCAACTTCATTTCTGTTGGTTACAGCATTCTCTTCTGGTCTCCATCGGCACCTGCACTCACCTATAATATGTACACACATACAAATGCACACAACTGAAAATGAAATAAATCTTTAAGCAATCTGCATAAGCTATCATGGAATGCACAGCATATTCTTGAAAATAATGTGTGATTTGTCACAAGAAATGAACACCTGTGCACTTTAGGCTGGATCTAGTCCATGATAACGTTGCAGAAAGTTGTGTAAAACTTTACCTCACTACTCCCTTAGTTCATATTTCATTATAACCACTCCTGTCTGTCATGTATGATGCCAAGCTATATCCTGTCTCATGTTTATTCAAAGTAGTGTGGAATACTACATAATCTTTCCTCTTTCCTGATAAGTACATATAATTTACACTGGCTTCGACATCTTGCCCTCGAGAACTCTCTATGATTTTATGTTGTAGTTTATCTTACTGTGGATAATCCAACATATTCCTCATGAAGTTATGTTATAAAAAGCAGGGAAGGACATAATTAATCATCCATACATATTTATTACATCAATGTTAGGTTGCATAGAATATTGGAAGTCACTCAACAGCATTTGCTGGGAAAAGGGTTGGAGAATCAGAAAGCTGAGAAATGAATTTGCTAAAGTACAAGTTCAATTCTAGTTTTTATTTTCTTGTTATCTTCTGTTTATTCCAGTAGCGATTCAGTTCTTTCATCGTTATACTAACCATTACTTCAAAAACATTTTCTTTCACTTTTGCTGTATTCTATAAGCATGTTTTAATTCTGTGATTCCTAAGAAGCACTGTTTATTGTTTGAGGTTCCGAAGTTTGTTGCACAGTAAAAGATAATTAACACCAGCTGGCCTAATTGCTGTCCTCATTTTACAGCTGAGGGAGCTAACGTGTACATAAATTAGCTAATGAAGCTTGTGTCAGGACACAGGGTTAGGAAATTGTGGAGGTGGGATGTGGACCAGCAAACTGACTTCTGACCATTTTCATTCTGTTTTGTACATAGCTATGATATCAAAGGGGGAGTTTGTGTATCACATAATTTATTTCAAGTCCCTCATCTTATGGTGCTCCACATTTCAATGTTACTGGATTGTGAAGCATCTCAGCAGTAAGTCTTATGTTTGTAAACACACCAGTTCTAAATAACATTAAAAATTTTATCCATTCTGCTTTTTCTTATTCCACATGTCTTCTACTCAGGAGCCCGAGATCACTTGCAACAATGTCAGAGACAGAGAGCAAGTCTTGCCCACTTATTCTGTAGTGGGACAGCTTTCATTTAGAAGGTTGAGCATGGCTTTTTACACAGGACGGACAAACTAAGTGTAGAGTTTATTTGTCAGAGGACAGACTTTTAGTTAACATTACGTCCTGCATTTCAGATGGATTAATGTTTATTCCAATACTTCTCCAAAAGGAACAGCAAGAGTTTACAATGCAACCACGAGAAAATGCATAACCAAACTGGAAGGCCATGAAGGAGAAATCTCAAAGGTGAGAGTTGCTTTCTCATTTGAATCAGTGTGTTTTCTGTAAAAAGAAAATAAAAGAGAGAGTATGTTTTGTATGAGTAAGATAATAGAGGCTACAAATTAACCCCCTGAGTTAACAGATCAGACTTATCCTCTTATCCTCTAAGATAGCAAACATATTTATTAACATGGATCAGGCAGAGAAGTAATGTTCCTGACGTTAAGTAGCTTGCGGTAGACAGAACAAAGATAAAACCAAGTTAAGTGAACAGAATTATACATTGCTGAGTCCGCATGGAGTCTAATACAATGTCCAATATTGCTCTAGCTACTGTAGTTGAATGGCAGAGGAGTCACACTTTCGGACTTGCTTATGTCATATTTGCATTTGATCATTATTTTAAGGTGAATTCCATGTATAGTGACTAAGAACACTGCTCAGAGCAACTGATAACCCCTCTTTGAAAATGTCTACCATGAAATAAATTCCTTGCTACTCAACATCGTTCCTACATCCATCACCGACAGTGAGTTTCCTGTTGGATGGCAGAGAGATATAAATGAAGCAGACTGAACTTCACCTACACATAGTTGTCCTGTTACAAACTAAGGAACTTCAGTTAATTTCTTTTCAAAATACCACCAAGGTCATTTACTTCATAGAGAGTGTTTGTTACATAAAAAAGTATTTTTAGGTCTTATGGGCATGATGACACATGCTTGTAATTGTAGTATGTTGGAAATAGAGACATGAGGATCAGGTGTTCAAGGCCATACTGAGCTATATGTTACACTCTCTCAAGCAACTATAAAACAACCCCGCCCCACGTAAAACAGGTGTATTGGGTCTAAAGTACTTAAGTCTCTTTAATTAAGTCATTCTGCCCATTCAACTACCCAAGCCTTTATTTTTAAGCATGTGTTCTCTGATTCAGCAAAAAGAAATGATTTCTTAAACACTTAAAAGGCATAAAACATTATTCTCAAACATCAGCAAATATTTAATTAGTTGAAAATACCCAACTTGGCAATTTAAGGAGCTTGTAAAGTGCTTTTTTTCTAGTTCTAGGAAACATGCAGGTTTGTCTTATGCAAAAAAGCATTCAGTGCCTCAAGGGTTCTGTAAATTAGATGTAATGGAAGGAATGATGTTTGGGAATATTAAACAAAGTATGAACTTACCCGTTTTGAAACTACAGGGCTGAATCTTAGGGTTTTATAGAACACATTTTAGAAGCTTCACAGAGCAGAGTCACTCAGTGAGAGTCTGAGGTTTGCATGTGTCCCCCAGAACATGGTAGAGTATGCTGGGACTCAGGGCTCTTGCCTCTCATTTCAGCCCAAAGATTTTATATGTCCCTTCATTATGAAATAAAAGCTTGATGGCTTCAGAACTCTGAAGGTTATAGTGAGATTCCAAAATTGCCCATGTGCATTCCTGTCTCTACATCCTTTATCCCTGTTGCTGATGGCAATTTCCCTGTGGCTGTTAAGTGCTGGTATCCATAGCAATGGTTGATGCTGACCACTTCATGGACTGAGAGGTAACAGGGTGGCTGGAGGGTGTAGGAAAGTAGAGCCTGGAAGGACAGACTGGGCCATGTTCCTGAGTGTAGCTACCATTATGTATGACATTTTCCCTCAGTGAGTGTGTGTTTGTCTTTGTGAACACGTGACTATAAGAAAATTTTGAGTTCTATATTATTAAATTGTATGCATGTTAAGCGAATATACTGCTCATGAAATTACTATCTGGTGATAATATTTATAAGGAGTACAGAGCTAGCACATCTAGTATCTTATATATTTGTTCGCCAAAACACTCAAGATGTTAGGATATATTTAGTATGCACAATAATGAATTTATTATGACATTTCATACATGTATGTAATGTATTGTGATCATATTTGTCTCCATTACATTCCCTTCTTCCCCTTCCTCTCTTGTGAGCACTCTTCCTATTTCCAATTAGCCCTCTTTCTAGTTTCATGTACTTGTGTGTGTGTGTGACTCAGTGAGTTTCAGTAGGCCGGCTAGAGGAGTATGGGTGCCAGTAATCACCTTTGAGAGCATCCCTTGTGCTAGGCATTTTGGAGACAGTGATGAGAAACACTTGTCCTTTTCATATCATCTGACCCAATTGAACTGACTCAAATCATTGTCTTGTGATAAGTAGAAAGGGCTATCACTGGGTTATCAGAGGAATGGAAGGGCCAGTGGCAGGTGCCTACACCACTCAGATACTGAAGGAGAATGCCTGGTGCTAGTGAAGAATCCAAATATATCATCTGAAAGAGATGCATTTGGGTGGCAATAGATGAAAGTCCTCTTCCAGCTCTAGGTGTCTGCTCTTTCTATGGTACAAATAGGGTGGGAAGTTCTAAGCGGTTTCAGTGACATAAGATTGTGTGGAGAGGTGACACTGAACTTTACAGGTAGAACCAGGTTTGTTTTTATACAACCTGACTCTCCTTCTCTTTTGGATTAGGAGGGAACCATGAGTCTTTGGGAAGAAGCAGTTGAGGAATACTCAAAGTATACAGGTGTTTTGGTCTTTTACGATTGTGAGAAAGTAAACAATTAAACATTAGCATCTAGGGTTTAGATATTAGTCCCTATATTTTCCCACCAGGAAGAAATTGTTCTAAAGATAAGTACTAGGCCAGGGAGGAGATGGGTACTCAGCACTCTGTTTGGTTTTGGAAATCTATTGTTAACCCAAGCTTCTACTTTCTACCATCTCTTTTGCTGTTTTGCAGATCTCTTTCAATCCCCAAGGAAACCGACTCCTGACGGGCAGCTCTGATAAGACAGCCAGAATCTGGGATGTTCAGACCGGCCAGTGCCTCCAGGTCTTGGAGGGGCACACTGATGAAATATTTTCATGCGCCTTCAATTATAAAGGCAATATAGTCATTACAGGTATGGGAGCTAGTTTCCTTCTAAATCGCCCACTAGACTTTTTAAGAGGATGCCAATAGGAGTACACACTCAACCTTTGCTCAGTTTTCCAGAGGCGGTGGCTTATCTTGGAATTTTATTTTACTTCCATTAATGAAATTTTTTTTCTTATTATCTGATTTTTTTTTTTAAAAGAAAATCTTTTGAGATGGCGTCTTGCCTCACACTTGCAGCAATCCTCCTGCCTTAGCCTCCCCAGTGCTAGGGTTGGAAATATTAGCCCAATTCCAGGTTCCCATTCAGTTGCACCAGGACTCACAAGAGTGTACTCTGCCACTGACAGTAAATGTTTGTGACTTTTAATTCTGTTGCTCTAGGTAAGGTAGCCATTTAGGAACTCCTCTAGCTGGTTAGTGTTTACTGCTTAGCAGATGGTAGTAGACACCAATACTAGAAACAAGTCAGAACTTTCATTTTCCACAGATGATTGTAGAAATGTTAAATTTCAATGTCTTTTTCTTGGATCTTTCCTGAGAAAGCGCTAATATGTGGGGAAAAGAATATGCATTGAACATTTTCCCAATATCAGTCCCAATTGTGTGACTTCCTGGTGAGTTGTCCTTTGGAAAGCCTCACATTTCACACCTGGCTAAGCAGCAGTGACCCAGGAGAAAGTGCACCTGTTTAAAGAAAGGGTAACAGAAACAAGATAAGGGGGAAATGACCATGCAATTTGTTTCTTCAGGCAGCAAGGACAATTCCTGCAGGATATGGCGCTGACGGAAGGACTCTGCTGTGGAGCAGAGCTGTTGGCAACAGTGACCAAGAACTTGAACTCACAGAGAACCAATGAGCTTTCTCTTTTTGTGCAACTCACCCACGGAGCAGCCTGTCCATTTACAGAATGACCATGGAACCTGAACTCACATCGTTTCTTGATGTTATCAGAGTTGACGATAGGAGCAAGCATCATATTGGTAAATGTCACTAATAGTTTCAGTTGTGTTTTGTGTTTCAGTATACTGATAAATGAAGTCAAAGTGCTTTTACAGTACTTCTTCAAGATTCCAGAATCTTCTAGATTCTACCTGAAAGTTCATGTTACAGTTTGTCTTCAATAAAGTTTTTAGAGAAAATTTCTTATGAATAGTGTTTCATTATGTGTTTGGAGGATAAGATAACAAACAGTAAAATGGTTCTCGCCAGCAAATATAGTCTGCATTGAAAGTGGCATAGAATATATATAGGTAGGTTTATCTATAAGGATGTGTTAAACAGAATAGATGTTCAGATTAGTAAACTTAAAACCCCTAAATGAAAACACTGAAGTATAAGAGGAAACAACCAAACTGTTGCTAAAATATTAAACATATCTTGAAGTGTTTGAGAGACTGCTCAACAGTTAAGAGCGCTGTTCTGCTGTTGCAGAGGACCCAGGTTTATTTCCCAGCACCCGTATCAGGTAGCTCACAGTGCACTGTGGCTCTAATTACAGGGAATCTGACACAGTCTTCTGTACTCTGTGGTCACCTGCATTTATGGGTACACATACACTCATAAATACACACACACACATACACACACACATCTTTAAAGATACAGTGTGTATCCCTCATAATGAGAATGTTTAGATCTACTAACAAATATCTAGAGGCACAGCATAACCCCACAATACCCTAAATTAATTTTATTTGCCATTTAACTACACGTTTTTACCCTTGACCATTATCTTTCCATTTCACACATCTCATCATCTAGCCCCTGGTTACCACTCATCTATTGTTTCTATTTTCTATTGAATTTGGCTTTTTTTTTTTTTGTGGGGGGATGTTCTGTATATGCATGAGATCATGGACTGTTTGTGTTTTACTGCCTGGCTTCATTTATTAGCACAATGTCCTCAATACTTTCTATTTTCACAGATGACAGAATTTCTCTTTTCAATGTCAAACAAGGCCACCCTCTGTATCTATGTATGTGCACTTTCTGTTTGTTTATGTTCTACCTATACTGAGCGTGTGTGTGTGCTTGTGCGTGTGTGTGTGTGTGTGTGTGCCACAGTGTACACATGTAGGTGATGAAGTCTTCTTCTGCCATGTGGGGTCCCAGGGTTGATGACTGAACTCAGGTTGTCAGGCTTGGCAGCATGTGCCTTCACATTTACCCACTGAGTCATCTCGCCAACCCTGCTTCTCTTTCTGCTCTTGGTTTCCTTTGCTGTGCTTTGGGTGGCATAGTCTCATTACCTTCTGCTGTTGCTTCTGGTGCTTCTGGAATCATGACCAAAAATTCACCATCAAGATGAGTGCCCCAGTCCATTCATTCCTCTCTTGGTCTTTGAGGAGTTCTGTGGTTTCAGGACTCGGTGTATAACTTTCCAATGGATTTTGAGTTAACTTCTCTGCTAAATGCTCAGTATTTGGTTTAGTTAGCTTTGAGCCACTGTGATCAAATATCTACTGACTTAGGAAAAGGTTTGGTTTTGGTCACACTTTTAGAAGTTGCAATATAGAACTGGTTAGTCCAGTTGTTCCGGGGCTTGTAGTAAAAGTAATGGGGGAGTACATGGCACAGCAAAGTCATTCACTTCCTGACAGGCAGGGAGGTGAGAGATGAGGGGCTGTAGAGGGAAGGAGAGGGAGAAGGAGAAATGGAGGGGGAGGGAGGGAGAGAGTCAGGGAGAGAGGGAGAGAGATGAGAGAGGGATAGGAAACTCTGACTGTGGGGGTGCATAATTGTTTTTGAGCCCTTCCCCACTCCAGGCTGGCGTATTACCAGTTTGATCTGTGCGTGCTTTCTTCAGGTAACTAATAAATATCTTTTATGGTTTTTACTATCTGAACCAGAAGTACTAAGAAGTGGGAAGATTGTCAATTTATATTGTTGAGTTCTGGGTGGCACAGACACCAAAGTTTATTACAAAAACAAACAAACAAACAAACAAAAAAGTCACCACAGGGCATAAAAAGCTTACCTGTTAACTGGGAACTGGGTCCACAGTCAGAGATCAGGCTTCTGAAGCTGTGGCAATGGGGAGCTGGTTTTGATCCTCCTCTTATAGTAAAATAAAGTACCAGGTATGAGTCAAAGAGCTTTTACAACCTTGAGGTCAGGCTTAAACTCACATTACACTTTAAGTTTCACAACTTCTGGTTATAGGATGCTAGGATGGTAACTTAGGATATTTGGGAATAATATGGCCACTTTTCGCTGTCCTTGAGGGAATGCGAGGCAGAGAGTAGAGTCATAAAGAAGGACAGTTAAAAATGAAGGGAATACAATGCACAGGGTCCCATAGAGGCGATAGTTAGAAGCTGACCTTTGTCAGCTTCTGTCCCAGCCTAGATGGGATGCTGGGAGGCAGGAAACAATTGTTAAAAGTTCACCTCTGTACACAGGCTGCCAGAATGTCTACTCTTAAGGCAGAGAGTGGTTGTTAAAGGTTAACAGTGGCTGCCAGCTTTATTAGTTTTCCACAATGTGTTTGGGTTTACAATTTTATATTTCTATATTTCTGGACCCTTCAGGATGATTAAGGTGCCGTCCATATTCCTCATATAAATACAGTTTTTAAAAACAGTTTTGACCCATATTTGTTGACCACATGGCTACAGAGAGGTGACTACAGTCTTACCCTCCCAACCCTTTAGATTTGATATCATCTCAGAAACACCCCCTGTGTCAACTGAGGATCACTCTCTTTCCTCCTTTTTCCCTCCAGCCACCAAAATCATAAGCACTGACCTCCATATATTGTAGCTGCCAGTCTTCTTGTTTAATTTATCTTTTAAATTTTATTTTATTTAATTCTTTTTTTCATTTATTTTGCATACTGACCACAGTTTCCCCTTCCCCCTCTCCTCCTGTCCCCTTCTCTCGACTCTCATTTGCCCTCCTCCCTGTCCACTGCTCCACTGTCGCTGTCTTCATGCAGAAAGGGTCAGGCCTCCCATGGGGTAGCTCCCAGTGTCCTTGCTGTTCCCTCTGTAAGCTACTGTTTTATTATCGCTCTGTCACTAGGAACAGAAACTGAATAAAATTCTAAATTACTCCTGCTTCTAGATTACTTCTTTTTGAGATTAAATGGTTAAAATAGAAGGTTTAGTATGTTATACTTACAGCACTTTCTCATAAATTGGTGTGTTTACCCAGAGGGAAGGAACGGGAATGGTGAGCTCTAGAGAGTAGTAACACATATTCAGAAGTTGAAATGACTTTGGCTCTATGGCCCCTCTTTACCTCTCTCTACCCTTCCCACTTTCTCCCCTTATCTTGAAGCATTGCATCTAAACTCTTAAGGGATGTAAATTCCAGAAAAGTTCTGTGGAGGCAGTAAGAAAAATAATGGTGAGGATTGCCCTTTGCTTTGATTGTAAGGAAACATTGGATTCATTGCTTTGAACAAGGCCACTTTTGATGCCCTTTTACTGGGAATATGGTGTGCTGCTTAAATATTTGCTCCCACATGTCAAGCGGGAGCATCCGTTAGGGAGAGTGAAGCACCTGGAATCTGTTGCTGTTTGCAGAGTTTGTGGGCTTACAAGCTTTGGTTTCTTCTCTCCTCTCAGCAGGTGGCACTGTTTGTCCTTCTGTGGGTCATGCTTTTCTTGACAGTTGGTACAGAGGAACCTTTTACATTCCAGGTCCCTTACAGAGAAGGTTATATGGGGATGCGATACTCAGAATGTGGTATAGTTTAAAGCTTGACGCTATCCTTGGCAGATCTGGGACAAATGACATACCTCATTAATCTTGACATTCTGCAGGGACATTTGCTCATCTATCTTGAGGACAGAGACCAGCAAGTTGAATAATAGATAGCTCCAATGTTTCTTTAAAAGTCCCCTATGGGGAACCATGTGAGAAGATTTATTTTATAGTGACTGGTATCAGAGACCACAACTCTGAACAAAGTAATTTCACACCACTGTCTTATCAGAGCAAAAATCGGTTGTTTTGTGTACTAATGAAGTTTTCTGTAATTTCAGTGAATTGAGACTGTATCATATTTTATTTTATCATTGCACAACTGTAAACTAAGTCAGTTTGTGTTTGGATACAAACTCAAAAGCCTGAGCCCAGGGCCTAGAGGGATGGATGGCCTCAGCAGTTAAGAGAACTGGCTGCTTTTCTAAAGGACCCAGGTTCAATTTCCAAAACCCACATGAAAGCTCACAACTGTCTGTAATTTACAGTCCAGTTCCAGGAGATCCAATATCCTCACACAGACATACATGCAGACACAACACCAATGCACATAAAAAATAAAAATGAAAAAGAAAGAAAAATAAAAGACCAAGCTAAGAAAGTCTGCTACTCATAAACTGTTGGCAAGGGGTCCCAGCTGCTGTCCCTTCCTTCCAGGACATCAAAGGCAACTGGAGGAATGGAAAGGAGAAACACTGGATGGTCCCTTATTAATACACTATTTTAATATAGGAACTTTGGAGGCAGAGAGACTGTCTTATTATTCTTCAGGCATAATCAGTAATGTTTGGAGGGCTACAATTGGGGAGGCAAGCAGTTTGGGACTTTAAAAGGAGTAAGTGCCATTTAGTCTTGTGGAAGATCTCCCCGCTCTCCATCTCTGTCGCTCTCTGATAGCTAGAATGCCTGAGTTTTTCTTTTTGTGATCTAACCTTTGTAATACTTGGGGGCAAAGACTGGCTGCCCTTTCCTCTGGCTGCACCTGAGTGATACGATAGTTCTTGGTGATTTAAAAATATGTGCTCTGAAATCAGAAGGACCTATTTTAAAATTCTGCGCTTCTGCTTCCTGGCTCGGGTATCTTGGGGACATGAAACCCTCCGTAATTCAGTTTTCTTATCTTTAAAACAGAATTGATAGCAGTACATGGGAACTTTGCTCAGATTAAATCAATTCATAAACATATAAAGGGCTTGATGTAAAGTAAGAACTTAATTAAATTAGCTAATGTTTGTAGACACTGGCCTGGTGACTTGAATTTGATGGTTTTAAGGCCCTTGAGGCCTCAGGTTCGAGCCCCGGCATCTCCACCAAGAGAGTAGCTGGGTGTGGTGGCACACACCTTTACTTCCAGCACTCGGGAGGCAGAGGCAAGCAGATCTCTGTGATTTCAAAGTAAACCTGGTGTATGGAGTGAATTCCAGGGCAG